TGTCCATGGGCTGGGTTGCATTGACTAGTCGTAACTGGTGGACAGTGGCATTCGGAACACTCTCAGTGGACTGTGCGGTCAGCAACTGTTGTTGGGTATCCTCATCCAACATGGGAAGCGCTCGTCGAAGTAGTTTAGTCAACTTCACAGCCAAAACGAGCGGATCTTCATCTATCCCCAGCTTCGCGCTGCGGAACTGCTGCATCTCCCGCTCCCTGTCCGCCGAGCTGTCGAACTCCGCCTCTAGGAGCTGAACCATCCTCCGCCAAGTCTCCTTCCCGTCACCATGTCCCAGTCCGTCATATGCTGCTTTCGCTCTGCCCCGCAGCAACGTTCCCAGCACCACGACCTTTGCCTCCGGATTCCTAACCCCACCAGCTTCACTACCTCCTCGAAGTCCTTGAGGAAGACCTTGACGTCTCCATCCTCGAACTCTGCAGGCCATGGGATCTTCATCACGCCCAAAGGCAGCAACACCAATTGAAGAAAAAGAAGACAGTTCGACGAGAGGATGTTTATTAACGACAATTGGAATGGTAGTGGTTACATATGGTACTCCTTGCACTAACGCAGCCATTTGCAAATGCCTTGGTTTCCTCTCAGTTCATGTCTTAATTTTCTGTTGACCGGCTCTTCATACACTCTTATCAGCAGCATACCCTGTAATACGCCTGTGTTGTCCCATGCGTTGCTCTTGGCAGAAACCATACCTATTGCCGGTAATTCTCTATGATTCCTGCCACCCTCTCGATACATACTTTTATATTCGTTGTTATCAGCAACGTTCACTACAGTATCACTTAGTTTTGTGGCCACATTGCAAACTTCATTGATTTGCACTCACCTCTCCAAGAAAGCGTGAATTCACTACCTGAACATGGAAGAAGTGTTGGCGACTCATCAGTTAATTCGTGCTGTCTAGAATGGAATGCAAATCTTATACTAAGGGACCTCCGCTTGAGGCTTGTTGCACGTAGTCTTTTGTGGGTTGTTGTTTCTAGGTTCTGTTTTTCTAATTTCGTAGCTGGCTTTTTCTCACTCCCCCATCCGTCGAAAAGGAAGCATCAGTGTGAGACTGATAGCCATCCAAGGGAGACACCTTACTGGTATCCCAACTCATCCAGTCAGCAGTACGACTTCGTCCTTAGATATGTATCTAGCGCAGTAATATACAATACAACGCCTTCTTTTTCTCCTACGATTATCCAGCAGACCCTTCTGGCATGCTAGGATTTTGAGGGAAAAGCGTCTCATCAGCATGGCTCGTTGGGTCATTGTGATACGCATCCCGATCACCAGGCCGATGTATCAGTTCTTGGTCGAGGATTTGAATAGGCACAGATGCATCAGCTTGTAAAACTATAATTTAGGACTAAAAGGATGTCAGTCATGTTTAGTTAAACTGCATTCGATAAATATAAGTGCAAATAAGAAAATTCAAGCGCAAAAGTTTATGCCTATTCAAAACGCGTTTTTTAGATATGCACAATACAGCTAATTGTCCTAATGATACTACTCAAAGCGAAACAAAATATATGCAAAATCCAGGGGTTAATGTTAACTGCAGCCCTTAATTCTGTGGGATTTATGGACTACTGAATTTTCATACCCTGACCACAAAGTTATTCTAAGGTAATGTAATATTCATTTAGCTGCTTCCTGTGGCTGAATAGGATACTTTAGTTACAAAAATTATCTTCGCAGTGCAAGAAACTGATAAATAACTAAGAAAATATAGTATTTCCAGCAATATAGTGTCTCAGATTGGTATTTATCATGAACTGACATCGATCGGAGAAACATGAGAAACCTAGGAGCACTGAACAGTTGTGTCATCTCAGTATAGGACTCCATACTAGTGCTCAGCCATGGCCCTGCCAAAGATCGAACCCAGAACCTTCAGGTTCCGAGGCAAACACGTTACCAACTGATGCAGTCCATGATGAATACCAGCTTGAAATCAATAAACCCAATAAACCTCCTAATTATGTATACTATCTTTCATAGGAAGTAATAATTAGCATAGGATAACTGTGGAAGGCAAACCATTAGTTTGAAAAAACATCCTGCGAGCCAGTAATGATACATTTTCTCGAAAGTAGATGCGAGTAAGATACTTTATTTCAGATATATATATATATATATATATATATATATATATATATATATATATATATATATATATATATATATATATATATATAGTTGCTCAGAAGCTAAAATCTCGCTTCGTATATGGATCAGTATTTACTTAGCAAATTAACACGAATTCCACTTTATCTTCAAATGAATAAGCTTCACATTCTTCACACTAAAATCAGTAGATTTTATGCATAATACGAAGGTCTATGATGAAGAAAGTGATCATAAATAACTAACAGGTTGGTATAGACTGTGCTTTATATTGTACCAACAGATTTGTTCTTAATTGACGTACGAGTACTCACTTAAAGCAAAGCCGAATAACCAGGATGAAATACCATTAATTCTCAATTAGTCTAGTCAGAATAATAGTTCGTCCTAGACATTAGAAAATTTTTCCTAAAACGATTTACTCTTCGAAAAGCCTTTTGTGATAATAATCCTGAAACATCACTAAATTTTTCTTTAGTTTTTTGATTGCACAATGGAAATGTGACTATTTGCTGCAATATTTTCACAAAGATGAAATGATGTAGCAACGTTTTCTTGATAACTCAAGTCGTTTTGCTAATAGAAATCAGTGTTGTGCGCCAAGGTTTTCTTCGCTTGCACGACAATACGTATATACTAGTTACTTCGTTATCCAGCCCAGTAAAAATGATAACAGGAAATTTTCCAGTGTTTGGGTACCATTCACTTATAATTAAAGGGAATGGACACCATCAAACTGCATCTCGGTGCTAGTCTATTGGATTTTGTCCTAACCACATATACTAGCCTGCGAATGCGTGTTATAGTGGTAAAGTTTTGAGATTGATAAAAGTGACAGATGTACGCGCTTGATGACATGAATGGAAAACTGGTCAAAGTAGTAATATGACTTTGTTGTTTTGGTGCCCGTGCAAAGTCTTGATCTTCAAAACTCCGATCTTTCGAGTTATGATTATTCCAGATCTACTTCATTTCTTTCAAGTTTATTGTCACATTATTAGTAGTGTTAATGAAAAATATCTTTGATATGATAATGCTTAAACTATACCGAGAATAAATGAAATGTACACATTATGATCTGTTCAAGAAAGTGACTTTGGTGATAAAACTAAGAGTTATTGAGGATTGTGAAATGTAGAAAGCTTTTTAGCCGTAGTCGAATATTACAACTAAGTGATAAATAACTGTTGATTTGTTATAAACAGTGCATATTTGGCCAGTTGAATAGTTAAAGTTAATACATTGAAAAACTAAGCAACACTGAACGTGTTATCATAATGTCCCTTTTGTATTCGACACATATTTTACTAGTTTAGAAATAAATTAACTGTTGCTGAGAGGTAAGAAGCAATTAACTTTTGTGTACTTTTTGTAGAAGCATATTTACCATAAACGATGAAAGATACGCTGCCTAGAAACCCACCACAAATGTTGTAGGCATTACCATTGGTCGCTTTGTATCGTGGTTAATCTTCAAAGGGCCGAATGGTGCTGGCGTTTTTGTCGACCGACAGTCACAACGCTGCTGCCCTCAGTGGTGGCCAAAAATTATTACTACGTAATAAGTATTACGGCTTGCTGCATTTGACGACAGATAGTTGGAGGTAATCACCGTTTAGAATCTTACCTATGAAGTAAAGTATAACAACACTCATATATAAGCTATCTTGCAATCATTTTGAATTTCTGCACACTAACACTTCTCACAAAAAATACGGAGTTACAAGTAGCATTCATTTTATGCAACACCAAACTCAGTGATAAAAAATCAATACTTTAGTCTCGCGAGTATGCTGTAATAACTGGATTATATTTTAAAACTTAAAAACTGCTTTTCCAAAACCAAACAACAACGAAAAATAGGGCTTTTCGTACAGTAATACAGCAGTTCACTGTCTTCAAGAAATAGTTTTGGCTGAAAATGAATGTATCTTTAAAGGTGAGTAGTCGATACTAATAGGGAATACACGGAGCCACGTTGCGAAATGTCACGTCTTCTACTTTGCGTGCCTTTTTTGACAGTGCGTAAAATGTTCTGAGAATCATAGTCATATTTTAGTGTAAGAACACAAACAAAAAATATATTATAAATTCTTTGTTTTTCTTTCTGCCTTTAAACAATTACATCTAACAGACAGCAATGAGTTTGGTGGTAGGTATATATGGTTAAAACGTATTGAACAGCCAATTCAGAACCGTAGTGGTGATAAAATCTGATGGTAGCAATTTGGATAGTACTTGTACTTGATGAAGTATTATCATCACTCATTTTTATTCACTTGTTTACCTTAGATCAGGCTTATCCTTCATTACGACTCTTCCACTGAGGCTATGTGTTAAGTTTTTTAAAGCATACAAAAATAGTCTATCAACTACATGGTCTTATATTTCAACTGATTCTCTACCACATATATATTCCAGGAAATTCATCATTCAATAAATATTATTCCTTCATTCTTAAATTGGATTGTCATCAAATATGTTTGCTTATAGTAGAGTGTATTAAAAAGGTTTGTAGTTTTTCACTGAAACTGTCTACTGTAGGAGAAGATAATCAATTTTCAGCTGTACAACATGATGAAGATATTATCCAAAACAAATTGTTCTTATTTCAGATTAATACATTGTTAAGTTGTTAGATTTATAATTTTCAAAAGTTATATGGACAGTATACTTTACCAGATATTGTTACTTATACCTAAATGAAGAAAATATCAACAGCCAGTGTTCCTGTGGTTCAAAGATCCTGTTAGATTTTGAGTGGATTATTCACTTTTGACGAATGGGTAGATTAGTTTTGTAAAAAGTAACTTGAAACTGATATTTAGTTTGTGCAAACCGTCTGCTAAATTTCACTTCATTTCAAGGGTAACACTGGAGAATTTCTTGAAAATGCTACTCAGAGTTTATTGACTGGGATTTTCGGTTCTCAAAGCCAGCCACAACATTCCCCTTCAACTCCCACACCATTTTTATCCTCAGTACCGTCTCATCATGTACCGAAGCAACAACAACAACAAACTTATAAATTTGAACCAGAAAGACAAGAGTTTCCATCTTTTGATGTAAGTTGTGTATACATTTTACTGATAACGAATTTTTATTTATAATTTCGTTCTCTGTTGGTTATGTATTATACAACCGGCAAAATGTCGTAGTTTTGACCAAGCATCGTAAACTTTATTCATCTTTAATCTCTGTTCAATTTAGAGTTGTGTTTTAGAGACAAAGTATTAGAAATGTAAGAGATTGTATGTAGCCTAACTGGTGATAATTTTGTGACAAAGGAATAAATTATTAAATGATGATTTTGGCCCTAACGGAAACAAAAGAAGTTTTGAAAATTAGGCTTTTATCGTAGTTCTTATTGTGTACGGCGTTGATTAGAACGCATTTTGTAAGCGTAAAGTATTTGCATAACTTTGCCCACTGCTTCCTAATTTCTGATATTCACGACAGAATTAGTCAGCAAATAGAATACCTGTTGTCAAAAATCCACATTGGGAAAATAGCCTTCAGTTTATGAACCTTTATCGGAACCTTAATAACATTTTGCTAATACCTGGAGACATTTTTTCCAGTAATAAGCAATCTAAGCCTATAGTAAAAAGCGACAAGGTCATCTAGTAGAAATTGAACCAAACATCTGGTATATTAGAATATGCACTGGTTTGTACATGGGCCTGTCACACAGTATTCCAGCATACTTTTCTAGATAACTTTATTGGCGTAGTCTGTGACCATCTGAACACTTCAGGCAATAGAGTTAGAACAAGTTATGCAACAACTTCACTTCAAGCAGTTTCTTTCTTAGAAAACATCTGGGATTTTATTTCCATAATATGACTAATTACATCTGTTCTTATAATTTCGATCACTGTTAATTAGACAAATTCAATAACAATCTAATTTGAGCACCATACCATACTTTATGGGAATAAATCTTATAGTGGTACATACCTGTTGTCCTCTCTAGACAATGAGTAAAAATTATATTACTGGACTACTCAGAAACACAATAGCCAGGCTGCATGGGTACTATTATCTCGCTTCGCAGATTATTTAGATTTGGTGTGTATAATAACGCAATAACTGAAATAAATTCTTTTAATCCAGGTAAATATGAATTCTATACATTAAACTTACAGTTACTGGTTTAGTTTTCAGAAAAACTATCGATTCTAGTCAAAATTTTGAGAGGGGCTCAAAGTGATTGCCGATCATTTAATTAAACTGTCACTGGAAACGTAGAATTGTTCATGTAATTCTACTTATGTGCTAAGAGAGAATACTGTTATGATGAAGTTGTTAATTTCAAAGTAGTTTGGGTAATTGTACTTGGCATCTGAGCGCGTTACTTTATCCAAAACCTCTGTTTGTCAAATTGTAATTATCCCCAGGGTTCAGATGAGTGAATAACATGGCAGTTTACGACTTATACATGCATATCTGCCAACAATGTCAAATTCGTGGAAATACCACTGATGAAATAATACGAACTCTTATAAAGGAAGTTTATTTCTCTTAAGAATGTAGACCTTAGTATTAAAAAACTAAGATTTTTGGTCTATTCAGCTTTCTGTCACATATGTGTCATCGACATAACTTTTGTATGAAGTTAGTTACTCAACCACAGATTTAAAGCCGATTTTGAACACTAGCCATGGCAAAGTTGATAATCAGCCCAACAGGGGTAGCAAATAAATGGATCCCTATATTTCTAAATCCCAAGGTTGAAGGTAAATGTTCATTTAGGTTATATCACAAGACAAGGTGTTTAAAATAAATAGTCTTACACCAATATCTATGCTGTTTGTGTCATAATATCTACATATTCAATTCTAAGAATAAACTCATACTTTTTGTGAAGAACAGAAACTTCTGCAATGATATTTACAGCAAGTGAAGGGGTAACTGACAAATAATGTTCCGTAAACTTTCTTAGTCAAATATAATGAGAACATCCACAGGTGTGGTATTTGTTTTGCACTATCGAAGAGCAAGACAGCTTACATAGATGGCAGATACTCCCACCAGTACTCACTCTCAAAAAAACATTCAGAAAGAGTAGGAAGTGTAAATCTTGTTTTGTGAAGCGTTTCTTACCGTTCAGTGTAGTGAAGACCTCTTTAGAAAGTATTAGTGAAGGATAGTTATTCCCTAGAATGATGTTTAAACACATTGATAAATGTGTAGAAATACACAAGGCACTACTGATTGTTCTAAATACTACTACGAATGAAGTTTCCCATGTAGAGTGCGATACAGAATAGTATACATCGACATTTTGAAGTCGTTTTAGCTCTTCTACAATCGGTTGAGTATTTGATACAGCACGCAGTGATACAGCGTAATTCACTGGATGATGTTTTGATTGCAGGTCACTGGTTATAACGATGTCAATTTGATAAGAATGAGTTATAAATTTTGCTATAAACATCATCTAGCAAATAATGATAATAACACAAGACTATATTCTTCCTTAATGCCAAAGATTTACATTTACGTTTTACTAATTGATCATCACCTGGTAATATTGCATAGGGAATAAGGCTTTTAAAACTTAATTTAGGGTCATTATCAGGTTTCAGAAATTAAGCTGCTTGAGGGTATGTAAGAAACCAGGATCACCGCACAAAAGGTTAGATAGATCATTTACAGTCCCAGGAGAAACATCAGTATAACTTCACTTGGTTGAGAAAAGTGTGGAGAATTTTGTCAATTTATAAATATAATCTAGGTCAGGATTTTTTACGACCAAGTCAGATGTAAAACAGGATTCATGGATGTTTTAATCATTTTGTTTGACGGAACATGCAAGTATACGAAAGTAATAGTTGATATTTCTTGTATGTGCTGAAATGGACAGAACATCTCTCTTTTACCAAGAAAATAAACCATCCTCTGGGGAGTAAACTGGTTATTTAATGTGATTGTGATGATTGAATAAAAACCTTTCTTCATTTTTTACCGCACCTTCTTGATGATTCTTGTTGTAGCCCCTTCAAATGTCACGTTGATAAACACTTTTACGTACCTGATAAAATTGGTTTGAGTGCCAAGCACCACAGTGGCGGACTGGTCACTGGAGATTTTAATCTGTTTAATATCCAAAGTAACTGGCTAAGAAGATATTTTGCCACGAAACAGGAGGAACGAATGTTGTCACACTATTGGATTGTTATTCTAAATAAACCAACCGCTGAAAAGAAACGAAGTCTGTAGCTTTCTTACTCATTATTTGGAAAACCGGTTTAGTTGAAAAAATCACCACTGTCATGCCTTACTAAATTCCATCATGGGTAAAGTATGAAAAACTAGGAAGACTGTTATGTGAACAGTAGGGACAATATCTACTCAGTTTCTATTACAATTACATTTCTTGGCTACTGGTGCAAAATAAATCTGAGGTATTTCCATTTTAGAAGTCAAGTCTGCCATGCATCACTTTCGTTAGAAAACTTCTATATAATTCTTTCTTATTTGCGAAAACAGGAATCAAACTTCATATTTAATACAATATCAGAAAATCAAAAACGCTGCTATAAACCCCTTGGTTCGAAAACAGGTTCCTTTGAGTAATATAAAAAAGCGATCGGAAAGCTGTTTTGTATTTTCATTTTAGTTTATTTATTAGATCTATTACACAGCGGGACAGTACTGTTTACTGAATCTAGTAAACAACACTACTCCACTGTGTGATAAATCTAATAAATCAAGTAAAATGGAGTTATATTCTACTACAGTACCTATGTTTTACTGTTTTATTAATTTTCTGTAAGTTTTATTTGTTTCTGTAACATCAACTTCAAGTCATTATTGTCATCTGTTTCTTTTCTCGTGGTAAACTTTACAAATGAAATGATTTGAATTTCAGAAGTGATATGATTCAATGTTGTAAGTTAAGATTGTGACATATGATTTGAGTTTATAAAATTCTAAATTCTGACAGTTACGCTTCCCTGGCTTTCTAGTGTCCTTCAAAATTTATCATGTAACGGTATGGACTGTCCATAGATATCAACCTAAGTAACCTACAACAAAACAATTAAAGTTGATTTCTCAGTTGAATTTGAAACATCGAAATTATCAGTTTGTTAGAGTTTTCTCTTCATTATAAAAACAATCACGAATTTTATCTTTCCTGTATCTTATTCAGCCCTTTTTACGATTCCTTTCATTTTGTTATCTAATGATACTCAGAATGCTTACGAACTGAACCCTCATATATGTAGTCGCAGCACTGAACATTTGCAAAACCAGTTGTTAGATATGAAGCACCAGCTACAGTATTGTCAAGAGAGAGAAAAGAATAAAGAGCAACTACTTGAAGAAAGTTATAATACAACACGACAGTTGCAAGAAAGCGTTACGAATTTATTTCAGCAAGTAAGTAATTTTCATCAGTTAGCTGACTGAATTAGATAACTTAGTAACTTAGTAAAAAAAACATTCTTGATAAGGTGATATGGTCAGTTTTTAGGTTGATAAACCAATATTTCTGCGTCTTCAGCCGTTGCGCAACTGTTTTGTGAATGAATTAACTCACATAACAGCACTGAATAAATAACGCTACATCACAGAGTGGCAGTTATATATATCACTTATTGAAACCAGGACTGGACGTGAGCTACTAGGTTTATAAGTTTGGTATACTGAAGAAGGTATGATTGTGATGGAGAACTATTTTAAAAAGGTAGTTAGTTTTCCACCAACCATGCGACGTTCATATATTTTTTGACATACGCTGTAATCCAAACAAAGTTATTCATCCTCATAAATTGTATCTTTTAAATCTGTTGGTTAAAATCTTCTAAAGTTTGACTCACTACAGAAAAGTAGGCGAAAATCAATAACGAGAATGTAAGTTTTGTCTCACATAAACAAAACTAGATGTCATATAAATACTGTGCGCAGTGAAGACAAGTGAATTTAAAGGATATCCTCATAGCTACTAATATGAGTGATTAACTTTCATTCGTCAGGACAGCCCTGATATTGTCTGTGAGCGAGTGAAAAGGTCTATTCAACCACCACTGGAACAACAAGTTGAAACTTTTTTAAGTTTTGAAGAAACTACCTTTTAAGCTAAAATAAATAGACCCAAATAAGTTGTTTCAGTTGACAATCTGTTAGTTAACTCTATTTGCCTTAATGGAAAAACCTAAATCCAATGGACAAAATGGCTTGAAAATAGTTTGTTTTGTGCTTGAATAAATCAGTCTTTATCTGGTCTTCAAACTACACGTCGAGAGTATCTGGTTCAGTGTGTTAGCGTATAAACACAGGTGATTTTAAAGGTTACCTCAGGAACAACTGAAATAACCAACTAGTCTTCTCTGTTTTATAAAAATCTAGACGAAGTGAAGAAACATAATCAGTTATTTCAGTCGTTTTTGTGGTGAATTTTAAAGTTACTCTTCAGCATAACCAAACTGTGTTTTTTTGGAAGCCATTAGTAACACATGATTAGGAATCTCTTTCAAGGTCACCTTCACTATCAAATAAACCAGTTGCTAATATTGTTATTAGCACTTGATGACCAAATAGACTGAGTGACTTTGAAAGTCACCCAGACAATTTCTGAGAGAATCAGTTACCGTCCTCTATTTTAGAAAACGTCAACTTCCCAATCAAATAAAAGAGATCTGATTGGATGCTTCAGTAGTTGCTAGGGTGACTGACCTTTAAGATCACTTAATAGATTTCTTTTGTATCAGTTTTAAATTTGGTTATCAGCATATCAGATTTAATAATTTAACTATTTCAGTCAACCCTGGTAGAATTGAAATGTTTCCCTACACGACATATTACAAATTTTAAGTCTCAAAAAATTCGTTGTTATACTTCGATCCAGTAGTAGTGCTTTGAAATTTCATGGAGAAATATGTGGGTATGAAAAGTTAAAGCGTGTTGTTCAGTCCGTTGATAACCTTGACCTATATGCTTTATTTGCGGAAATTTATTAGATGTGTTAATTAGAAGGCACATCACCTCACCTAATTTTTTTTCTGAAACTTAAGTAGGTAAACACAAACTTTCAAACACTTTCAATATTTCAGCTAGAATGTGTTGACCAGGATAATAGAGATGTCTATGCCAACACGATCTATTATTTGATTTTGGTCAGTTGAACGGTTTACGTTTTCACAACTATGAACCTGTTCCATAATGAGAAATGTCTTACGGAAACCCCAGAATTTTAGTTCCCATAAAACTTACTACCGCTATTAAAGGCACTATTAGTTTGTTTGCAAAGATCAACACTTGAATAAATCAACAATCTTTGTGAAGGTCATGATAAAGGTCAGTAGTTTTTAAAATATTCCTTGCAGATATTTAGTCACGCGTGAAATGTATTCTGTGACTGCAAAGCTTTGTTTATTCTGATAGCACAATCATTTGATAGTTGTTTGATAGAACTGAAAATTCATATCTCACTTTTGAAGCTCATATTCTGTGTTTCCTAACCAATATTATGCCATCTTTAATTAAATCTTTAAATCCTTGGATAGAGCTCGTTTAGAGTCCAAATGCATTTTCTTAAGTGGTGAAGGAAGATCGTACTTAAAAGCTTACTATTACTGTAGAAGGTACTGCTTTCAACAACTAAGTAGTAAAATTCTAAACCAGTTATCATTCAGAAAATGAAGCTAGATTTGAGGTGAGTCGCTCCTAAGCAATTTAGTTTTTATTTACTGTTTCAATCTTACTTAGGATTCAGATCACTGTGGCCGCTGTGATCGACTTAATAGAAAAATAAGTATGAGCGGTTAATCATTATGTCAACAATGTGTATTCGAGGCATAATTTGCCAGTCGCCTGATTTTTACTATTCTCGTCTTACACTGTTTAGTAAAACACTTTCGTAAATTTATTTCATGTTACCGTCACATAAGGTCCTCTTATTATACAGGTTGGAGAACGTGAAAGTTTACTACATAAACTAAGTTTAGAAGTGAACAAATTGAAGAATAAATATGAGGAAGTAATGATGGAGGTGAGTGCCTACAATACATTTGATTGCTCGCAAACTATCTCCACTTAAGTTTGTATAGGATTCTCAAAATACCAGACTTTAATACATTATTCCTCCCATGATGTGTGTGTTTTAAGATGTATTTTATTATTTTGTACTGATGCTTGTCTGAAAAAAAATACTGTGAAGAAATCCCGGTCAACAAGCAAAAGTTATCATATGATGATGAAATTTCAACTCTTCAGTGAAGCAACACTATGTAAAATGAAAATAATGAAGACCACGAAACCAAAGTATGAGCACTGATAAACTAACTGTATAGCCTCATTTATCAACCCTTATACATAGCTCCTATTAGAATACTTCAGTACACGAGTCTATTCAGAGAGCATTTGAGCTCTTTGAGCATTTTAATCATCAATAAAGTTGTAACGCTTTTTCAACTCAACCCTAAGTGCACGATTTTTTCAGGGAGAAAATGTTCGAAATTGAATTACTGCCCTCCTATTTACGTGCCTCCATTTGTAAAAAAAGACTAGTAAATATAATTTGAGGTGATGTACACTGGGAACCTATCAACTTCCGATTATTATAGTGGACATTTTGATCTGCATGAGGAGGCTAGCTCAGTGGCTGGGAGAGTGGATTTTAGTAAATTTCTTATTCATTTTTTAAACCTGTTCATCAGTTCATCCCCCTTGAAGGCTAAATAAAAAACTCAGGCTTCTCATGATTATCCGGTCCACTTGTTCCCGGTGTTTTTATTTTGGATTTCCTATAATTCTTCCCGGATAGTCATTTTCTTCGGGACAGCTCCAGATGAACTGCACTTCAGTCAGTTTATAGGATGAACAAAGTTTTCTAGCTATGAAACAAAATTTAAACTAGCCACTGCTTACAACTTATGGGACAGAAACTAGACAGGTCTCTGGGGTAATACAACTCTTTTTCACTACTGAAGTACTATATGGAAAAAATGAAATTTTACTGTTTGTTTCATGTTCCATGAAAAGCCTGGCATTCATATACGCCCTGTTAAGTATTTCTAGCAGTTTTATGGTGTGATCCATTGCACAAAGCAACGCGCTACCAGTATATCCGTCAGACACTGAAGTTTGAACTATGGCTTGAGCTGATGTAGTCCTTTCCAACCTGGCAATAAACATATCCACACGAATAGATCCTAAAGGCTTCGCATGGCTACTCCATCTTTTTGATGGTATAGTTTGCTTTTCCATTGAAAAAGCACATTTCTGATGCACATAAACAAAGGCTTCTTGCATTCAGTCTTTCACATGTATAAGTCATCCGAGTGCTGATAGACAATATTTGTCGTTTTCTCTGTTGGTGTGTTGGCGAACAACGCTGATAGGTGATGAAGCACTGTTAAAATAACATAACTGTTTCAATCTCATATTTATCCAAACAGTAAAATCTGTGAATATCCATGATGTTTGCTAATTAAGTAGAGGCCATCATTAGTACTTCATAATTTCACATGAAGAGCATATGACTATGACATATACTAATAAATTATAAACAAAAGGTTATCATATGAACTGGATACTGCACAAATATATTTATTTTCTCTGCTAAGTACTTGTGTGCCCCAATAAAACAAAAAAAATGGTCTCTGCACTTTAGTTTAATGAAAATAAAAGTAAGTACAGTGGCAGATCATACGAATTATCGCCGGTAGGAATTTTGGTGTATAGATTACACTTTGAACAATATTAAAGAATGCTGAGATCCAACACTCTGCAAATCCTAAAGTCCTTTTATTAACAGCATATTTTTTATCAAATCACTATGCATTTCATCTTGGTGATTAGTAGGTAAGCGATGTGGTCAAAACCTTAGTGTTTAGCTCTGAAACAGGCGCGATGCGTCATGTTCTCACTGTAACCTCAAAGCCAGGTAACTTGACGTTGCAGTACTCCGTACTCTTGTTTTAGATGTTGAGAGTCAACTGGCAGAAAAATCTGGATCTACGTTTACACCAGTTATCGCTTGCTGACCAATTTCCATACATAATCCACTTCTACATAGGTAATTCGTGGACTAAACGGTTTTCGTGAACCCTGTAACCTTGTACTGAAGGACGTCGATTCGAATCACCAGTCTCCTCATGGTTGCAGACAGACCTTAACGTTGATGTCTAACAGGTCTTTCTACCGACTGATTCCCAAAATCTAAGACCAACAGCCCTTTTTCTAAGTGGATAGGTATTTCTTCAGCTGATGATTTCTTGACGTTAGTTTTCCAAACTATTGAAGTAATTAAAACACTGGTTCTAAGACTAGGATTTGTAGTCTTCATCCTCAGCTTGTTACTGCTGTATTATTCCCATCAAAAGTCCTAAAAATGTTTTTAAGGATAGTGTCTTGTGTCAGGTGGTTCGTCTATGACGAACGTAAAACTGGTCTTTGATTGATGTAGCAGATTATTTCGAATTATGCATATATGACGCTTATCCCTAAATACTAATCATACTGATGTTCTGATTGTAGTTTAACTATGTATAAATATGTATATATTGGGAGAACAAACATTATTACGGTCATGCCAACAGAATAAAGGTAAATGGAAGCAGTTTTTAGGAATGGTTTTGGTGTAAACTTGACAGACGCAAAGGCCAATCACTAATTATTCGAACTTGTTATACACCCACCAAGAAAGGACACAATAGCGTAGTCAGATGGAATAGTATATTTGTGAGGTTGTGCCAAGATACCGATACGTTCCAGCTAACTGGCTAGAGGGTCGATTACGAGCAATGCAACGTAACACGACAACATGCTAAATGGCGAGGATGCTTGACTGGCTACCTTCAGCTTAAGGTGTCCAGTTAAACTATCAAGGTCAGCATCAATGTCGAAAGTCGTCAAACCCTAGGCTATTGATTTCAGGAAAGTGTAAGACGCTACACAGTGAATAACCATATTTAGGCAAATCCTCCATCTTGTTCAGTGTCGTCAATATCTGTTAGCAGAAAAATTGACGAAACTGGCGGTTGTTGATATCGATGAAGTAATCGGAGTTAAATAATGTTAATTATAAATAAAACTCGTTCAGAATTCCTTTTGGCAGATGTAAGTAACACAGTAGCCTAACATTTTTCTGGATAAACATAACAGCATTCCAGTGATACACATAAAATTGTTGCTATGATGTGTTTTAAAAGGTGGTGATTAGTTATATTGTAATGCATAATAAATCGAGAACCATTTACTCTTATGGTTTTCGCAGCAAAGAAATAGTTTATGGCTTTTTCATATGGATTCTAGGAAATTGTATCAAGGCTTAAAAGGTTTTCCAGTGTAAAATGTGATACATCTTCCATCTTATGTTCGCATAGCAAAGTGTTTCATTTTAAATTCAGCTTTTTTTCCTTTCACTTTCATCTCTGGCATTCATCCATTTTTATTACACGGCTAAAATGCTTTTCCATCTGAATGAAACTAGCATTATGCATAGCCGTGTGGTGCCTAAAATGGAGGAAATTTTATCCATGTAGAACTTAACAAAATCGCTGTAGAAGTAATGTTAGTAATTTCATATAGCTTTCAACTTGGAGTAACAACAAATGTAAGTGCATATCAGTACGATTTTCAGAGGTATGCACCTAGTTGATCGTTAGCATAAAATGGGAGGTTGAAAATTCCAGAATAGTATATTGTGTACTCATTTCACTTTCTGGTGGTCATCTTTCTTATAGCGGTAGAAAATCATTGTTATTATTCGCCTCAACCTGTAATTTCGCTTAGTAAGATTAAGTGTTTGATCGACTTATGTAAAATAAAAAAGGCAAATTTTAGAATGTTCATCAAATGAAACGCGATTCTGATGCATTAAGCTTTGCTTTTTGTAGGGATTGTTGTAATTTCACCAAGGTGTTTGAACAATTATCACTTGACAAATCACAACATCTGGACTACCTAGTTAACTGAACTGAGAAACATGACTTTCGATTTTTCAAAGTTTAGTGTATTCATTTGCCACTCTTACATTAAGGGCTGTAACATTAAAATTATGGAACAGAAATGCTTCAACCAGCCCTCAGTAAAAGTTTATAAACACGCAGAAACAAAACTAGGTAAAATCATTTTAATTTTGATGAATAGTATGGTATTAATCCTTCTTTCTCTCAAGCGTGATGCATTTCAAAACCAGGCTAAAGAGCTAGAGGAACGCTTTCATGGTCTACAAAAGCAATATCAGAATCATACAAACAATCTGGCTAAAATGGTACGTTCATCTATTTCCTTAATAGTTTAGTTTATTCAGCCTTCTATAAAGTTGAGATGTATTTTTTATCACTTTTATACTATCTGGCATAAATACCGTTAATACTGTGATTCCAGTATCTACGACGTATGATTAAAATCCATATGCTGGGAACCAGTGGCCTTCAGAGTACGTAACCATTTCCTTACCTTCAATTCTTGGCAGCCACTGTCTAACAGAACTCATTAAAGACCATATCAAGAAAAAACAGAGAATTTTTACAGAAGTCGATTTAAAAGATAATCATAAAAAATGGTAGTATTACCGCATAAGAAAAGTACTTTAGAAGCATTAAGAAATCTTTTAAAATATCAAGTATTCATACAACTATCAAAGTACAAATGGCTTCAGAAACATATTGGGTTAACTTGCGGATCTCATTATCAAGTCTGATGTGTAAATTACTATGTGCTGACTATCCCCTTAGTTATCTGGAATACGTTTCGACACCATCCGAAGACAGACTGAACGAACGACAGAGATTAACCAAATGCCAGCAAGCAGAGATATACGATCAAATAAACTTGAAAAATGGTTCACATGCAACAGCCTAGACAAGTGACAAGAAAAATAATATCTGAACGAAAGTAGCTCATTTAAACTTAATGTGAGTTCTTGGAAAGAAGAATAGTATTTGGGTTCAAATGCGTGCATATCCAACATAGTGCACACGGCGAATGTGATTCAGCTCATCATGTTTTGATGGTTCTGTTTTTCCATTCATTTCCAAAACTACAATTTAAAACAAGGTCTTTACTTTCGTTCTGTCTGTTATGAAGTGCGGAGCAATTCCTCATACATTCAGTAACATAACTCAGCTACCTGAGGTATTTGCGATAGGCGGCGTGCAAGCGTTAACACATATTTAGTAAATAGCCTTTTCAAATGTGGAAATTGCTCTACAGTTTGCTGATATCGCCTCAGATGACGAACTCTAAGTCACAGATACGTGATTAAAAGCATGCATTTACCAACATTCTAAATCACTTGTGACCTCAAGTTAATTTTGAATCTTCCCTCCAACTGTGAATGGTCCATAATTCTGTCCTAAATATTTTGGGTCTGAATGAAATCAGACTGATTAAAGGTCAATTTTGAAAAAAAGTTCGTCTATAGCTGCTAATGGATACTAACTTAAATATATGAAAAGACTAACGATTGTGCTTATATTTCAACTTATCGACCCTGATACACAGTATATTATTAAAACGAAAAACAAAGATGTTTATTTATGTAAATGAATGACAATTAAACATACTTCACAAATGAGTAGTTAGAAAAACCTATGCGTTTTTGTCATGATAGGTGGTGTTTTCGGAATACACAACAATACATAGCAAAATATTTAATTTATAAACGTATAAATTACATTAATGAATAGCTTATGAACTCTGAAATGAATCAGTATGTTGTAAATAAACTCAAATTGGGCTAAAACGCGTTGTTTACCTTATACATACAGCAACTCAAAAATACATTACTGTACAGTGCTCATTGGTAACATGCTTTCAGATGGATAATACGAAGTCCTAGTGAGAAGCCGTGACTTTTGGGGTCAGCCAGTTGGAAGGGAAGCGGAGGCCAACTGAAGACACTGGGTGATAGTCGTGCTATGTCGTGAATTGACAAAAGTTGAAAACTGTGAACCACTGAAAACCGACCTAGTGGCTGAATGGCTAACGTGTTCGCCGTGAAACCTGAAGGTCTTGAGTTCGATCCTTAGCCGGGTAGTGGGTGTGTACTGTCGAGTCCCATGCTAGGACAAAACAGCTGTCCAGTGCTCCCAGGCTTTCAATGATTCCCCAACTGACGTCAGTTCGTGGTCAGTACTACCTCTAAATTAAAAATCCCTATTCATCTCAAAAATACATATAGCATGTATCCATGAAATTTCAGTTAGTGTCCTGATCTCAAACCGTAATTTTACTCAGAATATTAATAAAATTAAAATAATCTTTTTTCATAAACATTCAAATTTGTTTGTAACTAATATTATCTTAAATGGATTTATGATATATGTCTAAAGCATAACTTGTCATTCACATGTTTCAGTGTGGATAGTCTGTATCATCAGATGAATTCACTTGTTATGTAAATTAAAGTGTAGTGTTAGAAAGTTGATCATAGCACTTGCATGCAATGAGTGTAGATCTAAAGTTCATAAACTTGTTGTAAGAATTACATCTATTCCTCCTCATAAGATGGAAGTAATCAGCTAGTTCAATGTTTTAAAAGTCTTGGTGTCTGAATAGGCTCTAAACGGCAGAGCATTGTGATAACCTAGCAGTTTTGTAGCTGAATATGGGGATGACAAGGGTTTGGCGTTCTTTGGCCTATGATATCTGATGGTTTGTATCTCATCGCCAAACTTGATAACGTCAGTAGTACTAATTCATGAAGCGAGTCGCATTTTAAAGTAACATGAATGTTAAATTAGCGTTTTGCTGACCGTATATATGTATGTTTGTCATAGGTTAGGCGAGAGATTTTCATCCCATTCCGACACATTATTTCAGCTAAGGAGTTGTGATGGGTGCTATCTACGTATAGTGAGACCAAAGGACGTTGCATCATGTCGCTCCAGTGCTAGCTGATGTTGAGGAATCTCTTGATCAGTCTAGTGACTGGAGTGGCCAATATATCGCCGAAGACTTTCTTTGAAATTAGTTTTGCAACTTATATTTTCCGATTTGATTTTCTTAGTGGGTCTTTTGGATTCTACAGCATGTCCTGCATTCTTTTAATCTGTTCGTGAGCTGTTCCAGTCATGATTAGAATAGACAGTGGACTGATGGTTTGCGAGGTATTTTTGATGTACAGTAATGTGCTGGGTGATTTAAAGCGATTGTATTGTTTTTTCTTCTTCAGATAAAGGCTTTCAGATTAACTGACTTGCTTGTTTTCAGTTGTAGACACTTTATCAAAGCACTTTTCAACAGATTTCTAGAACACTTGCGTAAGACCACCAAAAATTATCTTTTCACCAGGCCTTGAATTTCATACAACAAACACAATCGTAAAAGGAATATTGAATTTATTCGTCGTTCCGAAAAGACATCTATGATTATATATTTTTCGCATATTTTTCCAAAATTCATCCCTTCTAGTTACAAGATCGGGGTAAATACTATCCACACTAAGAATATATATATATGTATGTATATGTATATACATATAAATTTGTAAAGGATTTTTCAGTAATGCCCACTTTATGCTTGATTTCGGAATAAAACTGGGACATTCGAGTTTTGTATCTGTGCAGGAAAACGATTTTGAGTTCTATATTCCTTATTAACTTATATAAATCAGGGAATTCGAAATAACAGAATGCAGCTGTTGATCACTGCTTTATGAATTTCAGCAATCCTTTCAGCTAAATTTTAGCGCGGTAGGAACGATTCATAAGAATTCTTTTCTGCGAAAGTGGAAAGCTGGCCTACTTTAATTTATTTAGTCTTTTGAATGTTTCTCTGTTCACCTATCCTGGGGTTATGTTACGTAGTTAACGATACCATCACCGAGTAAAATAGAATTAACCGAAAATCTAAGATGCTTATACTTTTTCTACCTCATTTTTTCGTAACCAGTTGAACCATTCAGATTCAGTTGTGAACCGGATGACGAAAGAATTTAAACGAACACAAATGACTATTGAAGAAAGTGCACGGAAAGTGAATAGTTTGTTCGGTCAGTTGAAAACGACTCAAGAAAAACTGAGTCGAACAAATGAACATTTAAATGATGCTGAAATTAGCAGAAAAAATTTAATGAGAGAGCTAGAAGAATACAGAAATTCTCATCACACACATGATAATGAAGTAAGCAGTAATGAACACTTTAGTAGTATGTTGTTTCATCGTTTGTGACAAATCATCCCCTTTTTGTATCTAACCTATTCACAATGAAATCAGGTAGTTATCCTTGTAGCAAACGTAGAATGTGAATCTGCACCTCATTAGTTCTCATACTTTATTTTCAACAAACAGGCAATGGGTTAAGCAGCCTCTCTAGAAGTTCAGGAAGCCAGAAATTTGTGAATGATAGCCTAGTGTATTAATTATTCTGCATGAGTTTTTCTTTGAGCTAAAAATATTCACCACAACATGGGTATGTGAATGATGTGAGAAGTGCAATGTATTGTCTCTGAATAATTCGAAACAACTATCGCAAACCAAGTAAAAAATTTGGTTAGTTTCCTCTTAACCTATCAACTTACCGTGTCTTCGTATCATTCTAGTTTCATCCGTATATATCTTGATAGCCAGTGTTACGCATTCAAGTAGTAAGCCTTTATACTTACTAACACCCTAGAAAAGTGAATATATTTTCCTATTTCACCAGCGACTAAAGAATCCTCTCAATTTGTTGTGGTATGATAATCACAGCTACAACTTAATTGCTACTGTCCTTAAATGGGACGACTTTTATCTTGTTTATGGTATCTAGAATTGAAAATTTGAACGTAATCCTAATTTATCTACAATCAAGAGAAACAACTGTCACTAGTCTCCTCTCCCTCTGAAGTTAAATCGAACGAAAATAAGATTGGTGCTTGTTGTACTACGCAAAAATAATCACTTAATCATGTATATTTTAAGTGTGAACTATAAACTAATAATTTACAACTGTTTGCCAAAACAATTTATATCCATAGCACGGAACAAAGTATTTCTGAAATGAATATAGTATTAAGTGAGTAGTTGTATAGGAGCTGTTGAATGGAGCTACATAAAAGTATCAAAAAATGGCATCTGGCTATAATATCTAACTAGAAATACTCACCAAAGTATAATTTTTTTACTTCCATTGGGAATTTAAAATGAATGACACCACTTCTGGCGATCACCATACGTTAAAACGCTGTACCATTTTCAGAAGAATGACTTTCAGGAACAATGGAAATTTTATCTGCACTAACTAACAGTTCTAGCTAGTAGAGTTTTTGCGAAATGATGTGGAATCGTATATTTATAACAATTTAGATGCTGCAATAGTAGTGCAAAATTAAAACTGATCTCAGTTCATTTTCATTTAGATTGATAAAATGAGCAGTAAAATTTTCTTTGTAAAGGTGCACTCAATGGAAGTTCAAATCAATTATCTACTAAGTGAACTTGGGCAGATGAATGAACGTTTGACGGCAAGCCAGAAAGAGTTGACCAATTCACAATCAGAAGCTGAATCTTTGAAGGTAGGTTTGTGGGTCAGTTTGTTCATATGCAAGCTAGTTAATAAAATAGAATGATAGATGTCCAGAGATATGACGAGTATAAGAAAAAATTCGCAACCACTAATCAGTCAACACGGTCCTATACATGCAAAACATTTTCCTTGATTATTTCTTTTGGATTCACATTAATGAAACGAAATAAATTATCCTTCCTTCAAAACTTCGTTGCAAGCCACATTAAAAATTCTCATCGCGATAAGAGATGTGAATATCGAAACCTATAAAATAATAACCCCTAGAGTTATTTAAAAGCCACAAAATATGGAAATAAAGGGGTATCTGCACAATCTTAAACTTCAAACTTCATTCAAAAAATAATTCCTACCCGGAATCCGGAAGACGAAGGCTGATGTGCTTTCGCTTCTCTCGATGAAAGCAAAGTAAGAATGGAGAAATGGAATGTGTCCCCACAATGTTCAAAGCTGGTTACCAGGGCTGTCCAGATTGCTAAAGAAATGGGAAGATATGGCACAGAATAGAAGTGCTAGGAATCTGCGAAACCAGATGGAATGGAAGTCGACTCTCCAACATGTCACCTGGAGAGTCAATAATCTACTCCGGTCACCTAAACGACAAACACGAGCACACTGAGTATTGGAGTGACTATCATGATATCCCCGAGAGCATCGAAGACTCTCTCTCTCTCTCTCTCATGTAGTGGGAACCAACCTCCTACTCCAGGATCATGACAGCAAGTTTCAAATCAGAAGGAAAGAAAGTTACAATCGTACAACGCTACGCTACGCACCTACAAATAATGCGGATCAAGATAAGGAGGAGGGATTCTACAGACAACTGCAATCAGCAACAGACAAGACCCCACCCCAGTTGGCGAAATCAAAATTCACTCCAATGGGCGACATGAATGCCAAACTGGGAGCGGACAACACAGGAGGAGAGCTAATCATGGGTCGAGAGGCACTCGGTGAAGTGATGGACGAGAATGGAGAACACTTTGCGGACATCTACACATTTAACGATTTGATGATTGGAAGCAATCTCTATAAACCCAAGGATATTCACAAAGCGAGCGATATGAATTTCATCAGACACCAGGACACACTAAAAATCAGATCGACTTCATCTGAATGTGAAGAAGGTGGAGACGCAACCTACTGGACACAAGATCAAACTACGAAGAGGAGCAGATATAGGTTCACACAATCCACCATCTAGTTCAAGGAACCTACCTTCCGAATCAAGTTGAAAGCCTTCGAAGGAGAAGCTGGTGATAAACCACAGTTCAAGTTCAACACCTAGAGCAGAAACTGATCTGAAGGACGAAACTACAAAGGACATCTTCACATCAGTCAATCATCAGGAAAATATCGGAGACATTGAGCAACATCTCTGGAGAAATCTACCTGGAAGAACACTGGAACTCTTTGAAAGAGATGTGGAAGGAAACCTGCATAACCGTGTTAGGAAGGAAGAATAAACAAGACAAGGAATTGATCTCGACGGACACATGGAAGCTGATATAGCAGAGAGAGGAAGATGGTGATGGTGAAACAGAAGATGAACCAATGCAGTCTGGTGTATGGATGAACAACGAAAAGAGGAACCGAATACTACGTGTAAAACTCTGGACAAAGAAGTGAAGAAGAGTGCACGGAAAGACAAATGACACTTCTACGACACACTTGCAACTGAAGCAAAACAGCCTGCAGTTAAGAGAGACCTGACAACACTTTGTCAAAATAAACAGGTTACTTACTGCCTGGGAAGAAATCAACGCACACGAAACCAGTGAAAGATAGTGAAGGGAGCTTAGTTACCAAGGAGGAGAAACAAAGGAAGTGATGGGTTAGCCACTTCAAAAAACTCTTGAACCGAACACCACTATCACCTGCAACTCATTCAGAAATATCACCAGCAGCCCAGCCACAGAATTACCAGTGAACACAAGCCCACCGACAAAAGCAGAAGTTCTGAATGCCATAAACTTGCTGAAAGCAGAGAAAGCAACAGGACCACATGGAATTCGACGAGAAGCACTGAAAACAGAGGTAGAGACAACAGCGGACATGCTCACACCACTACTCCAAAAGGTTTGGAAGGAGGAGGGGCAAGGTACCTGCCAACTGGTTGGAGGAAGGGCTACCTCGTCAAACCATCGAAGAACGGAGACCTGGGTAATTGCAAGAACTGACTCGGAATCATGCTCCTGTCTCTGTCCACCCGAAGCTAAATATAAGGCCACATTATCCTGGAAAGACTAAACAATGCTCTGGATTCAAAATTACAACCGGAACTGCCTAGCTGGCTGACTTCAGGAAGTACAAATCATGTGCGAACCAAATTGCAACGCTACGCATAATTATAGAACAGAGCGTGGAATGGCAGTCAACTCTCTACCTCGACTTCATCGACTTTGGAAAGCCCTTCGATAGCGTCGACCGAGAAGTAATTTGGAAACTGCTTCAACACTACGGTTTTAGTCCCACAAACCCTTATCAACGTCATTCAACAGCAGTTATATGCTATGTAATGCTACATGCCAAGTGATTCACGATGGAAACCTCAGTGATGCCTTCGGAGTGAAGACAGAAGTAAGACAAGACAAGGTTGTCGCCTACTATCACCGATCACCTTCCTGATTGTGGCCGACTCGACTGGACTGGGTCATGCAACAGACAGCTGTGAGGAGTGAGAAGATGGGGATACGCTGGCTGGACCGATGAAGAGATCCTAGAGGATTTGAACTTCGCTGATGATGATTTATGTTTAATGTCTAGTGGCACAAACTCGAATATCTACAGGCGAAAGCCAACAGGTTGGCAGAAGAGGCAGGGCAGCGAAGATGCGACTTCCTTCAGGTGAACGTAGAGAAAACAGAGGTGATGAAGATACCCAACGAACAACATCATGAACAACAAGCACCAATCACCATCAGCAGGAGAAACCTAAAGGAAGTTGTCTCGTTCACCTGCCTATGCAGCATCGTTTCAACTACAGGCAGCACAGGCACAGATGAAGATGTCATAGCCAGGATTGGAAAGGCAGCAAGACAGGCCTTCACTAACCAGAAATCAGTGTGGACATCTATTGCACTGTACGCAGCATGAAGAAGAAGACGAAGAAGAAGATCTGGATTTTCACCACCAATTCAGTCAAGTCAGTGCTTCTATATGGTTCAGAAACTTGGCACGTCACCGAAAACATTTCCAACAAAATACATACATGCCACCTACACTCACTCGATATTGAAGATCAGATGGATTGCCAGAAAGAATAAGCAATAAGGAAGTCTGGTCAGGCAAGGAACCAACCAGGAACCTATCTTCCAACAAATATGCAGAATAAGGTGAAGATAGACTGGATTGGACATACACTGAGAAGACCATTCGGAGACATCACGTGCCAAATCCTCGAGTATAATCTGAAGGGGGAGCGACGGGTTGGGGGTCCAAGGGTGACATGGGAGCGATCATGTGAGGATGAAATGAAATCTCATGGGGAGTCGTGGAGCTAGGTTGAAGAGACTGCAGAGAAGAGAGTGAAATGGCGATGTGCCACTGAAGCCCTATGTTCCACTTGGAACCCAAGGAACAAATAAATAATAGATAATAATATGTTTTAAAGAAGGCTATGCTGACTGGATGATTGGTTTTGAGGCAAGAGTTTGATTTTCGAAATTTCCTATCAACTATCGCTAATCATCTTCAGCCAAAAAATAATTCGCCAGTTTTGCTTCAGATAACCCGGTTTTATTGCATTTGCAATCAACTTCCAAAAACAAAATGTGAACTTGGCTACTCTCATGTCAACAACAATGTATAAATTTGTTTAGAACTTTTTATTAGGATTATTTGAAAAAGTGAGTAATAGTTTCATGATTTCTATTATGTGATCTTCAGAGTTAGCAAGATTTCCGGCCGATTTGCTTTCTTGGTTGAAGTCCCAAATCAATAAGCTTACTCAGGTAACAACTACGTTTTGTATGCGTATGTTCTAAGACATGTGGTCAGTTTCTCAAAAAAGGAACACTAATTACGAAGTTTTCATAGTGCTGACAGTAACTTTATGTTCTTTTGTTTTATATTTCCACCGAATCAAGTATGTTCTGATCTTTTGAATCTTCAACAGTCGATTGTTTCCACTTATTTCATGGTGCTAATACTACTTGTATCCTTATTACTAGCCCTCATTGCTCTGAATTTTCCGACGCCTTGGAATTAATTTTAGTAGAGGTCCGCAAATCATCTGCAATGTTATCGCTATTTAAAGGCCATGATCTCACTTTTCTTGTTCCCATAAAGTTTTCCGCTGGCACTTTTGAAGCAGCTACAATCAACACATTTCAACACTACATAAAAAAGAATAACTGGAAGTTTTCTAGCAGTTGCTTTCACCTTGGATCAGCTGTTTCTTATGTTTGATCGAATTCTTCGACAGCTGAGATATTAGAAGATAAACCGGTCGCTAAGCTCGTGGTTATCTCATGATGTTAGTGGAGTTTGGTGAGTCAGATTATCACTCTCTTGATCAGAGTGGGCAAAAGGGATTTTTATAAGCGGTTGTCAATGGAATACATCATATTACTGCAGTGTCAGTCAATAGTCAGTCAGCTACCATCGTATCACCTTGTCTTCCACACAAAGCTTATGATTACTGTCTTTCTAACCGAAGTGTATATATTTGTGATAAGTCAGTTAAGCTGTTCAAGACAGATTTCAAACTTTTCTAAGTTTAACAACTCCATAATTGGCCCAAAGTCCCCAGGAGTGGAATAAAGATTGCTGGTTGGTCGACCAGCAACAAGTCATCATAGAATGCAAATGATAATTTTGATTCTTTTGAGAAGTAGTTTCAAAAATATCATTCAGGTTGAATGAATGGTATATCTTTTTGGAGAAAATTTACAAAATATCTTTGATACCAAAAGTTAATAAATAGTTATTAAATAGTTAATTAGTTAATGTTTCATGAATTAATTCTGCGATGCAAAATTTTCAGTCAGTGGCATTTCAAATTGTGTTGCCTGAGATGTGTTAAATTGTGCAAAACCCTGGGTTCTACAGAGACAAACTGCCTGATGGATCTTCAGATCTTTAGTCTGAATAACAAGTAAAATCCGTTTACTGATACAGATACGTGTGATTTAAAAAATGGATACTGTTTTGATGAAGCCTATTATTAATGCCTAAGAAGTTGATTTTTTGTCAGCTGTCCTATGAGTGTAAAAACATAATTTTGATATTGTTTTGGACTTGCCGTATTAGCAGCACTGTTTACATCGAAAACGTCATCGACAATAAAAAGTGATTATAGAGTGAATTGTGGTTGTGGTAAAACTGCTTTTTTGCAGAAAGGATCCTAGGAAATTTCTTCTCATAAAAACCATACTTCAAATGATTATGCACAAGTATTTTGAATATGAAGCGACTACTACTCTGAACACAAACCTTCATAACACTGTAATATCACTGGATTACGGAATGTGAATATGAATTCCATTTTCGATGAGCGGGCTACTTCATTTGAGCAACCAGATTTAAAATGTATTGCGTGTTACAGTGTGTTGCCTGCCTTAAGAAATGGACATCTGGATGTGTGTTTCACCCTAGGCAAGACGTGATGCTGTAAACGGTTAAATGACTTTAGTTTGCATTATCAAGACAGAAAAACAGCCTGTTACCTACGACCAACTAAAGGTTCTATTGTGATGTCTGTCAGTTAGATTAGGTGTAATATTATGCCTATCTTTAGCCGAACATCGGGAAAAAAATAATGTTCCCAACTTGGTTAAATCCACTAGATATCATTTTAAACACATCAGTAAAACATTTAACAATCAGGTCAAAATAGCCACAAGTTCCACAGTCAGAATCAATAATACTTTTTTAAATTTCATAACCCTTAATTTTAGAAACAAATCAATGAGACCTTACTCGAAACGAAGCACATAAATTCACTTCTTAATGAAAAACAAAAGAAACTGGAACACTCAGAACATCAAATTATAGAAATGGAAAATCAACTGAATTCGGCTGATCAGTATGCACATTCACTTAGTTCAGCTAATGAGGATCTAATGAGTGAGTTGAAAAATCGTTCTAATGAACTGGAAAAATTACAAATGGAAGTGAAACAAAGCATGACGGGAATTCAAAATTCAGAACTTATGGTAAACAAATAAAGTACCGAATAAGCAGTTACTGTTTATTATATTACATTTTATTTGTCCCCGAAGAAAGTGCACCGTGTGTGATTAGAAAGTTACAAATAGATGTTATGTGTCTAGGTTAACAAAGTCGAAACAAAGAGTGTGGATGACAAAATTAGTACACATAGATCCCGACATTAAAATACAAGATTTATTAACAAATATTTTATTACTGTTGGTGATTTACAATCTAAACTAACAAAATTTTAAACTTAGAAATCTGAAGTAAATAAGTGTTTAATGGATAAAAATCACAATCGAATTGAATTTGTCACTTTTACTGGGTGATGATTGAAGGTGGAATGAAAATTTGTATCGCGGCCGGATTCGAATCAGAGAAAACCAGGTTTTGGTCTGATGCTTTACCAACTGAGCTATGAGGTCCAGGTTGGTAGGGTATCCGCCTGGAAACCTGGTAGTCGCTGGTTCAATCCGGCCGCGGTTCAAATATTCATCTCAGCTTCAGTCATCACCCACTACCAATGCAGGTCTGCCAAACCACGGCTACCTGAGAAAGTGAACAATGATATGTGTCATTTGTAGACATGAGAACATCACAACAAAGCAGATAGTGTAAAACAGTTAACTAGAAGAAAGTGTGAATCATCAAACGAATGAAGGTAAGTAGCATCAGATCAACAAAGCTTTTCGAAGCCACCCGTGTAACAAATAAAACTCAGAAACGAAGAATCTCAGTGGAAGAGGAAACAGATTGAAAAGCATGTTTGTTGCAAGGAGTTGTTGATAAGACCTTTGCGGTGACAAAAACGCTCAAGTACTTTCACTGCTCACTAATGTAGTGTAAAAGAACGAGAAAGCAGGATTTGAAGTAATACACTGACTGCGAATTGTTGTGTTGCCTGAGATGTGTCAAAATGTGCAAAGTACTGAGTTCTACAGAGACAAACTGCTTGATGGATCTTCAGATTCACGGACTGGTGATTCATCTATACTAAATCACCACAGATGATATTTGATTGCTTATCTGCACTCTTTTTGTATCTGATAACTTATGAGTTGTTTTACTGGATGTTTCGTTGAACCTTGTGATTATATTTGCTAACCTTTCGATCTTAAAAAGCACAATATGATCTCGTCATACGATGTGTAGCATTGACAAATACTTTGAGGCAAAGATAACTTATTGATCTAACTGGGTCTCCTAAACAGCATATCTGATTGAGTATTATGGTAATTTACACTTCATATAATTCCATAGGACAAATTGATTTTCAGTGTGAAAAAGTTTTTCAATAGACAGTATGGAGATGTGGCAATATATTGAAAAATTTTTACTTTCATATTTTGCAACTAATTTGATTTTTCTTTTAGATACAAGAATTAGAATTCAGTGTTCAACAATTGACCAAGCAGCTTGAACAGTCAGAAATTCTACGTGTTGAAGCAGAAAAAGCAAGTAATCAGGCTGCCGGTGAATCAGCTGCTATTAAAATTGAGTTGGCTAAAAAAGAAGAAAAAATAATAAGTTTGAAGAATTCTTCAGATTCTATAACCCAAAAGCTGAGATCCCTTGAACAAACATCCAGTCAAACGGAACAAATTATAAATAAGTATATTCAGTCAGTAAGTTTAGACAAGGTTTCTGTTTTACCATAATTCGATTTTAGTTAGAACATATGGTTCTAAGGAAATGAATTAGTGGTTAACAGGATTATTAGTTTCAGTATTCCATCTCTGAACAAGTGGAGTCAATGTTGCACAGTTCTACAGTCCATTGGAAGCTGACTTATATGTAGAAGTCACCCTTGACCAAGCAGTACCAACTAGTTAGAATTACAGTTAATTATTTTCCACACAAAAGATTTTAGTGCATTTAGGTTTATGTCTCGTTAGAGGGATAACTTATTGATGTGTCTGGATTGGTGAAACAGTACACTTGTCTATATCTTGACTTCAATATGCAAAACTGTTCACCTAAAACTCTTTCTTTTCTCATACCTCTCAGTTTGAACATACACCTTTACATACAACCAAACGTCTTTCCTAACAACACAAACACCTACCATACCGTGATAAACCTTTTTATTACTTTTCAAGCAAATCAGTCTTAGGCTGAGTAAATTTAATTACCGAATCAGATGTCAGGCATTATTGTATTCTAGATATGAAATCATTATTTTATGTTGACAGAAAAACCCGTGTGTTGTTACTTTTCCTTATCATACTTGCATTATAATCTCCAAACACCCAGTATCTCATACAAGTCCGGTTAATGAGTATATATTTCTCCAGACAAAAGTCTACCTTCATAAAAGTTTCATCTGCGAAACAAGTAACCCAAAATCAGTCGGTCACAAGATTGGATTCTTTTAAACTTTCCAAAACGAACCTTGACCTTGGTAGCAACCCAGATTGGAAATCAAGATTGACGCATGCAGATGATATCTACAATCTGTTGACTTATATCTTTTCCAGTTGAAGTGTTGGTAGTCAAGTAAATAAAACAAGTAAGCAAACATAATTGTAGCCGTCATGAGAATTTGAAATACTCGTTGGTATTTCTTACGCTATCAGTTCTCTGAAGCTATGAATAATTTAAATTCGTTCAATGTTTAGTAGTGTAAAATGTATTTGAATATCTGCATCAACAAAACATTAACTCACTTTATCTCCCTTTGAATTTTAAAGGAAATTGAAAAAGATAATATGATTCAGCGACTTCAGACAGAAATGGAACATATACGTTATCAGCTTAATGAAAGTGAAACCGAATTACAAAGTAGAAGTTCACAAATTAAAGTCCTTACTCATGAACTGGAAGCAACTAAAACCAATCTATTGGAATTAACTCTTCACAGAAATTCAGAAAACCTTGCACGTAAACGCACTGAGTAAGCAAGTGTAATTGGCGTTAACTCGCCTACATATATCTGAGACCACTGTAATAAATTATCAGTGAAAACAGACTCATCACCCTCTAACGTTGATCTATGTAAAAACGCTGAATAACACTCTCTAATAGTTAAATTAGATTATATACACAATGACGATCGTCAGTGAAAGCATCATCCTGAAGGCTTTTTACAGCATATTAATAAGCAAATGGCATTATGATTTCAGTGTTCGTCAAAAAAGGATTAAATTTTTACATGGACTTAAATTTCCTTCTTTTTATGAGATTTTAATCTTATAAGAAGAGCGGACAAGCAACAATTCACTACTAACAAGGACTTATAAAAGTTATTCAAGAACACCAAATCTTAATAGGAAGATTATGATTACAAGGACAGCTTCGTTAGTAATAGAATTACACTGATATGTCGCAAAGTTTATCTGAAAATAATTTAGTTCCAAAGATTTCGTATTCTGTCATCGTTTCCCTACAGCATTCGGTTAAAAGTTATATTGTTACGACAAGTCCTGGATGGGCAGCCAGTGTGACTACTGTCAGGTGGTAACGAATCACAGATTCATATTTTAGTCGTGGGCAACCCTGGGTGATTGAAGTTCAACTAAGATCTAGTCATCAATCAGGTCTCGCAGGCCATCTGACAGAGCACCGGATCTGTCACTCTGAGGTCGCTGCTTCAAATTCTTCCGGGATGCAGGTTTTCATTTCACCTTCAACTATCACCCGAGTTTCGCTACAAGTCTATCAGACGACAGCTATCGCTGATAGTTAAACTGATAAATGTATCGATCAGTTGTCCATCCGTTTCATTTGGTGAATGTAGGGTGTATATTTTCACTTTTTTCAGTCATTAATAATATCTATAAGTTAAACTGTATAAATAGCAACTATCTTCTTACATATATAATAAAAGGAGCAGATACCTTAAATTTGATAGTAATCGTTTTTGAAAGATATTTTAACCCACGATAATGAAGTGAATGGATCGGAGTGTTAAAGTTTGGTTGTCATCGTATGAAAACAATGCACGAATTCATAGTATCATTGACTAATCTAAATTTTCTTTAGAGTTAATTGGACTAATTGTGCTAGTCAAAGGGGATGTCTGGAAACTTTTGACTGGAGGGCTAAACGTTTTGGTTACTTGTTAGATGCGCAAAGAGTCACTAATATAACTGTTAGAAATCGTATAAATATTTTCCGTCGTTCTCCTTAATAGATTGTCTTTGTTGTTCCCAGTAAACGAAAAACATTATAGCAAATACATCAGGAGTTAGGCTTAACTCTTTTAAATGACTTCATGGTTGCTGAATCATTTGTTTCACAATACTGAAACAAGTGGGTAATTATTTATTTCTGAAAACAATTGTATTGTCGAATGGATGTTCTAAATTTAAAGGTTGTCGATAGAAATACGATACAGGAAAATATAATAACGGAGAAACCTAGACAACAATCAAACCACAATAAAAGCAACCATAGAACCAGTCATCTAATATATCAACTCCATTTTAGCTCATTTATTCGATGTATTACATCGAAGAACAGTATTTTATACTAATTTACTTTTCAGACCCAGTTTAGTGTCCGTAGTCATGTCACTATGTTCCACTGTGTGATGCATCTAGTAAATCAACTAAATTGGAAATATATTCTACAATAGTGCCCGAGTTTTACTTTTGTATTCATGAAACATATTGATAGTTCTTTATTTACTCAAAACTAGATGATTCGGAGCTTGATACTGCATAAAGTTATAGATGTGTAGCTAAGAGGAGACATAAACTAACGGAATGAGCAGCTCAGTTGTCTACGGTTTTCAGTGTTTCCTTAACTGATTTGAGTCTCTGACAAAGGCAGTCCTAAAACCAGTTTATTTCTGTTAAACAAACCGAATTGAAAAGTAAACTATTTGATAGTGGAGAAATAAAAGCAGTTGATTGACAAACCACAGTTTGGCTGCGAATTTAGATAGTATAGTAGATGCAGTAAAACTGAAAGTAGACTACTGAATATACTTTGCTGAGGTCTTCACTTTTAATGTGACCATTTTCAAGTTTTTATCACCAACTAGGGCTTGCTAAAGATTGAATTTACTTAATAAGCTGCAAGCTAGATATCTACTGTGAGTCAGCTGCGTATTTGGGAATTATGTAATTCGTGCATTAAAGTGGTGCACTGACTTGCACTATCTGCTGTGCTTTGTTCTACTCAGCTGTCATGCTGTCACCAGTTACTTTCCCAAGTAAATGTTATTTGTATTTTAAAAAGGTCGGAATTTTCGATTTCAGTGTTCTACAAGCTCTGAAATTTGGCCTCTTTTCTGAACGGTCTCTATATCAGCCGCTATATGTTCAGAGTTTGAATAACCGTAAGTGGAATAAATACTACATGAATACCCGCAGGTAAAAAATATTCTGATCTTTGAATAAAAACGAATTGTTGTCTAATGAATAAATGCGACATCAATCTCATGAAAATGAATTCGAAACTTCGAAAGAATCTAAAAGCTGTTCCAATAACAACAAAAAATCAGGAAGTACTAGATAAGTGCTGCGTCTTGTTCTCGGTTGTTCAACATTGAACATTTATGAATCATGTCACAACTCTATTCTATGTAAATACATGTCCAGGTTATGGATGAAATGACAGTCATTCACTACTAATTCCAGTATGAGCAAACAGTGAAGACCCCAATAAAAATGTTCATCATAGTTTCTTGTCCTACAAATGCCAAATCAGAAACGTTTAATTCCTTTGAAATTAAATCACGACACTTACTGGTCTTACAGTTTGCATAACAGCCAATTTTCGCACTTCAGAAAAACGAAGTTGAGAAACGTTTCTCTGTTTTCTTCCCCAGTAGCTCATAAATAAAAGATGAAATAATTCTTGTTCTATTTTGAAGTAATTATCCTGAAGAATAAAATCAAAGACTCAGTAGACAAACAGCTTAACTGCCCTATTACTATGTGTGTACTTCCCATCATATTTATAGATGGAGATTACAGACCTCCGTGAAATGCAACTGGCTTTTACTGAACAAATAGAAAGACAAGAACAGTTCATTGAACGACTACAATCTGAACTTACCAATGAACGTGAAAAAAGTGATTTTCTTAGTAAGATAAAAATGGATAAAGAAAGAGAAGTTCAAAGCATGACAGTAAGTTCATCAAGTATTTTCGACTCCGAAATTTAATATTCTGTTGTGTTTTCTTGGACAAGACATACCGACAGGTTATCAGTTCACTTTCATTTCAATATAGCTTTTAGACACAAAATTTCAACACAATACTTTTGCCTTACAAGTATGCGTATTGAAAGTAAAATAACTTGGGAAAATCAAAGGCATTCATGAATTTGGTTCCATATGAGCTGCAATGAAATTCACATATGGAATATGTAAAAGGTAAACAATCAATTCGCTGATTGACTACACTGCTGACTGTGACGCTGAGAAAGCAATAAGTTCCTCTAATACTGTAGGTTAATCATATTACTCAGCGCTAGGAAGAGGGGCATAAATAAAAGTTAGTTCGAGTCTTTCCTACATTTTCCTTGTGTTTCCAATCCATCAAAAAACGAAGACCGCTGAATCTTACATTCTAGTATGAAACATCTATGGTGAAGTTTCACGACTGACTGAACTCAGAAGCTGAAAGAATTATGTTGTGCAAGAAATATTTGTGTATACGAAGGACGGTAATGATATTGAACCGTAATATTCATATTTTATATTCTTTTTACTCATGAAAATTATCGCTATTTCAACCAGAGTGCAGTGGAACTCAGTCGCATCGAAAATAACCCTTTCATACATCAGCTGAAAGTTCCAAACTTCTGGCAGCATCATCAATCCCCTAAATTCTATGGAAGAACCGTCAGCACCCCTCCTAAGCGTTTTACTTCAGTCATGAAGTGTGATCAAACGACGGAACCAAACAGACTGTTATTCTCTTGTTTTCTTCTTCAAATCAACTTACGAATGCATTAAAGTTAGTTATGAATAGTATCTCTTATAAGCAAAAAGAGATCAAAGTGCTAAGATAATTGTTCGGTAAGGCAAACCTGACAAAATCAGTTATTATCTGTTAAAAACAGAAGGAGAACAGTTTACATGTCTGTAGAATTGATTTAGAGCTTCGTTAGCCTCAGAATATGAATAGTAGAATTAAAAGTAAACACTGAAGCTGCTATTGGACTATGGAAGCAGCTTTTAATGATGTATTATATGATTATTGTCAGTGATTTATTACTAGTTCAAAAAGTTTACACCTAACGTCAGAGTTTTGAATCACTTAAATGGATTTCACATATCGTTCTTACGCAACATTTCGATGAAAAACAAATAGGATAGGTGCGTACTTTTATTGCAAATATTACTAAGATTTGTGAATAACAGCCAGTGTCGATTTTTTAATTGAAGTTGTTTTTAGGCATAGTACCTTAGCTAGCTGATCTTTAACCATTTTTAAAATATAAATATAAACGGAAACGAAAGAAAAGCCATACAATATATCATGAACCTGTAGACATCTCAGTAGGTAAAATATATGAGACCAAAAGCTGAAGCGTATAACAAATAAAGTAGTTCCAACTGATTTCCAGTTTACTAAAGGAATATCATGGCCAATGAAATCGTATTCACCTGGGTAAAGAATTTGTGTTTGTTTTATAAGAGTGGGATGAGATCATCTCCACATATATCTATACATGCACATCTTCCGAATTGCTTTGGGCATGCATAATACCACCGTTAAAAATAGCACCTTTCAAAATCCAAATGCATTACTGTGATAAAAACATCCAATGACTATGTTAAGTGTGGTTACTATAGTTGCGCTCAATTAACGCTTCATTTTATAGCCCCTATTGTTAAAAATGTCCATTTCACGGGTAGTTCAAGTTATATTGTGCGCGTGTAAAGTGCGGCATCAATACAACTAATTAGTGCTTCCGCTTATTCTGTCTTTGTCCACAATGGACTCAGAACATTCTTTATGAACGTTTTCACCATAAAATAACACATTTTAGCTCCTAATCCTATTCTTTTACTTCATTTTTCTGATTTAAAAAAAACATTTAAACAATGAACAAACTGTGATAAACAGCTTTTTCACGTTTTTAATTTTATCACCTTGTTTATTAGTACTATTACCTGTGATGATTTTCAACCTTCATGCAACACTGCATTTATTATGGTATAGTTGTATTCACATTACTTTTCACCCTACTTAAATATAACTCATCACTACATAATGATATTTAGTGTATACACACATTCACATCCGAGACAAATATGAGTGTATTAGAACAAGACATACAAGCGAACAATATTTTCAACTAGATCCTCTTTATGTTATAACTTGGAATTTCCCGTCACTGGTTTGACTGAACTGAGCCGTTTCTGTTGACATATGGGGTCCTACACGGATGCCTTGACATGGTCTTTACTCTTACATCGGCAACCAAACACATAAAAGGTCAACCAGTCCTGTATCTTTGCTGGTCAACTACAAATCTTTTTCAAAATATACAGATAACAATAGCTATGGGGAGAATAATAACGTTGATAGTCATGGTGACAGTTTTGACTGAAGCACTCGTAATACGGATGATAGTGAGGAGAACCAAGAAAACACCATCATAGTAACGACACGTTTATGGTCAGAGTTGATTAAAAGCTTGGAAAAATGAAAGTTGCATGTTCATATAATGAAAATAACACTCTGAAAGTTTCGCTATAGATTTGATAACTTCTTCAGCAGAATATTCGAATTGTTATTTAAACTCTTACAGACATATCTTCCATAGTATGATTTGGGAAAATTATTACAATAAGTGGTGCCATGGTCTTATCCATTCTTCTTCTTATTTGTAATTCTGTTGGCTAATTAAGCTTTATCTGTCACTAGTGGTGCTCAGATATTATTATCATGGTTAATTTTGTGATCTAGTTTATATTAATGTTGTTATTTGAAATTTCAGAATGAAGTCGAACATTTACACCACAGCAATAAAGAACTTACAAGTCGTTTACAAGAACGTGAATCAGCCTTAGATGCTATGTCACGTGAACTAGAGTTGTTCACCTCCAGACTGGACACGACATCAAGAAATCTAACAGAGACTGAAGCAGAATTGTTAGAAACTAGACAAAAATATGAATTATCTGAGGCTAGAGCTAATAAACAAAAGGATGAGGTCAGTTTATTTTTTAACATGTTCTGTATTTAAACATTACCGAAACTTTACCCAGACTATTTTAGTATCTATTTTAGAACGTATGTAGTTTGAAATCAACAAAACAAAGTAGGACACAACACTCAGGACACTATTTTCATCCTGAACTGACAAATAAAATTGTACCAAGAAGTAAGAAGCACTAATTAGAAGTCAAAGGATCGATTCGTTGTGTAACTAAGGTAAAAAAAAGTGCACCTGCACAAGAACTTAACAATAAGTTACAGAGATTTGTCCACAGGTTTGGGGTTTAGAACTTAAACAACTCTAAAATATTTTACCATAGATTACAATCTGTGGGAGAATCACTAAATCCTGCAAATCACTGTCGGTGTTTTCTGCTGCTCATATTTTTTCGTTATAACCGTTGCTTCCGAATGATGAATCTAATTTTATAAAATATCAAACTGAGCATTTTTTTTTTACCTTCATACTGCCCTAAGTGTAAAACTTTTATAAGCTTCAATTTTACAGAAGTCGAGGTACTCTTTTAGAGCTTACATTCCACTGTTTGAATTAAGTAGTGGCATATTTTTTGAAATCTAATTATTACAACCTTACTGTGACGTTGCTCTTGGTTCACAGTATTATTACAGTTGAACCTGGTGAAAAGTTAATCAATTATTAAGATTCTAATCTGAAGGCGAACCTTGAGCCATATGTATATAACTCCATAACAGATTTGTACCTGTACAAAACAGTATTATTTACTTGATAAATTTTTGAGCACAAAATATTACTTTGGTTTGCTGATGAGCAGCAACTATATCCCGAAGCATAAAACAGTGATGACGCGTAAAGACTGGGTTATGGAAAATAAACATATCTAATGTAAAAATGCAATCAACCCTTTTGAAAGTGAAATTATGAAATGTCAGACTGCATAAGCTGGAGATTTATTGGCTAGATTTTCAATTACCTGAAATGGTCTTACTGCACTTAAGTTAGTCTGTATGCCTCTGTCACCAGGTTCAAGCCATCTGGTTAGAGAAGTTCATCTCTTTGTTAATACACTAGGATCAGTGCAGTTCAGAGATCTATACTTTTTTTAAATTATGTGTTTCAGCTCCCCCCCCCCCCCAGTATTCAGTTACTTTGATACTGGTACTGAATTCCGCATAAATGAATTCGTGTTTTCTAATCAATTGTAACGTGATTAAATACTGTGTTCTTAAAGTCAGGCACTCCACATATTTCATTTCAGTTGAAACAGTGTGAGATTACCTTGTCAAGTTTGGAATCTCGGTTACTTGAAAGAGAAAGTCAGTTAACAAAGTGTGTTGGACAATGCAGTCAGTATGAATCAGTGATCGTGTTCAGTGTGCTCAGCTAACAGATTTAGTCAAGGATCTTAAACAGCAAATAACGGAACACAAGAAGGTTAATATGATTTCAAAGGTAAGTTATAAAGTCATTCGTTTGATAAACCCTGGAATTAGTTGGAAAAAATATCATGAGATGTTCACAAGGTTTCTGTACTGTAGAAACAAGTTGATAAAAGTGGATAACTTATGTAAATAAAACAAGTCAGTTACTAGTGGTATGAATGGGACACAAAAATATCCCTTAAATTCACTTTTGTTTCACGTGAAAGGAATCTTCACAGAAATAAGTTAATAATCCTGTTACCGTTGAAACTACTTTACTTACTCACAAAGCTACGCTTTTAATAAATCACATAGAAGGAATATTTAAAATGTAATCGTTTAATTACAGAAATGCGGGAGTACATCTGATTAGAATAAAATGCCTACCCGATAACTTCTGTAGCGGCACTTACTTTTCATTTGATGTGATCATTGTCCTGTGATCTGGTTTATATCTTCTTACATAGGTGCGTAGTTATCTTTTTTAAAAGCGAAAGAAGTATACACTTAGTGGGTTGACTAGTGAGTTATTGTTATAATGTTGTTCATTCCACTAGACTTTGAGAACAATTGGGACTCGAAAGTAATGAGTTAGTATACAAGCATTTCTCCAGTAAATATTTATTTATTTATCCTAGTCTGGTTTTCAGTTAACTGGAAACCGATGGCATGTTCTTGTTAAGAGGAAGACGTTTACACAACAACAAAAGTGTTATTTCATATAAAGTTATTTCTCAAAATACTTGCAAAGTAACTACTGCTTACTTAGCACAAACTATATCAGTCAGATGTGTTGAACAATTGCAGACAAGTTTTACTCCGAGTAAATGCGGTTAATTTTTAGCGTCTAATCTGTCACTATTAATTTCGAAGACAGAACAATAATAAATCATTCGGTGTATTCTTTGTCAAAATATTGTTGTCAAAGTTACACCCATTTACACGTTTATAAGCAGAATACTTGATGTACAAAGCCTAAACATCCATGCAAATATGAATTGAAAATATCAAAATAATTTGCTGTTATCCTTACTAGTGAAAAAATTATAGTTTTCGCTCAAGTGAAAGTGAGTATGATCTATAGTTGGCATGAAATTTGCAGCATATCAAGACAACAGTCTTACGACAAGAAACCTCCCAAAGTAAGGACTCTTTTTTCCTTGGCTTTAAGTTACTATCACCCTGTACTATTTGCAAAAACAACAGACAGATATAACTAGATTTTCCCGCTAGATTGTTAATTGTACTATGAACAACCACTACAAATTCTATCCACTGACAATATACCAGTTGCATAATCCGTGTGGCATGTTCAATTTCGCCTGACTTCTACAATATCTAAATTTCGAAAAATAATAAGTGCACAAATAGAAGCTAATGTGGTCATGTCATAATCATCTACAATCATAGCAGAAATATTCACAGGTGGTTGGGAAATAAAAGCCATGAGAAAAATGGATTCTGTTCCAGCAGTACTATTTGTATATGTGACCTCAAGAGTCTTATTCTTTCAAAATACATGGTTGTGTGGTTTTAGATAATGATCTGGGCACCTGAGCTAACTGATGAACGAATAGCTGCTGATCAGTTCAATGTAGTTTATATGCGAAGAAATCAGAAGTGATAATAAAAACTGGGATATGAGAAGTGTGTTGGATATAACCCGTTTTACTTCTTTTATTATGTGCATTACACAGTGAAACGGTATTATTTATTCGATGCTATTTCGAATAGAATTCATTGCTTTAAATCATACCAAGGTAATCACAATTTCTTGGTCCAGTTCGATAGTTCTGCTGCATTTCATTCTTCGGTTTAATTGCCACTGAAACTTCCCATACAACATCAACTTCGAAAATGTGCACGAAATAGCATCTAACAAATGAAACTATTTCGCTGTGTAATATCATATGATAAAAAAAACTTATTTTGGGGAAAGTTGATAGGTTTTTGAATAGAACAGTCTTTAATTTTTGATCTCTCACTTAATGATGACAGTGTTCAAAAATCTTATCCTGCTAATATTTTCTCTTCCAATTCAGTTCACTCAACTATTTTCAATTCCAGTCATCCTACCTGTTTAGTGAGCAGATGAAATGATTAGACCGAATACGTGTGACTAAATCTCAAATAATAACTTGGTTCGTAATGTTGCTCGAGTGTTCGAAGTTTTGACTTGTGACTAAACTACATATTATGAAATTTTAGATATGTCGAGCACTCAAACTGCACTTATGACTTCATTAGTTCACGCAAAGGCTAATCTACCAAACCAATCCATGCAGCAGTAAAGCGTGAAAAAATTTTAATTCCCTTGGTTATTATAAATTTTCTTCTGCTGCTACGACCGTTTCATCGTTTACTGATTTTAACTAATTTAGTTAGTTTCACATATGTAAAGGTGAGTTATATGCTTAAAAGAATTTAAACCACAGTTTATACACGCAATTCCATATTAGATTTGTTTATTTGATATAAAGCGCACAGTGATACAGTATTATTTAATTGATTACGTTTCGAGCATAAATTATTGCTCATAATCATATCAATGTAATCACACTTCTTTCGACATCTGATTTTATAGTCCTGTCACCTGATCTCTCTTTGTTTTTTTGTTTTTTGATTGGTAGTAAAGTTTTCCATATCTCTGGTATAGGTGTTGCGTCATTCCTATTACATGTGTTGGGTGTGGATTCGATGAACAAAGATTCAGTAATTAATCTCTCTCTCCACCTAGCTATATTAGACTTAAGTACAGTGGTTTTGTCCCATCCTATTGTGTGGTTGTGTGTTAATGAATGTAATGCAATGGCTGAGTGTTTTTCTAGGTTATTGATCTTATTGGGGTCTGCCGTTCTATGTTTAGCTAAATTCCTATGTTCTGTTAATCTAACTGACCCCGACCGGCTAGTTTGACCTATGTATTTGACTTCACAGTCATTACATGGAATTTGGTAGATTATATTATTTTGCTTAATTGGTTCTATCGGATCTTTTAGCCGACAAAGCTTACCTCTAAGTGAGTTTGTTGGTTTAAATGCCACCCTAATTCCAACCTTGTTGAGAATCCTACGTATGGTTTCTGATGTTCCTTCCTTGTATGGTATCACAATAGAGGTGTTGATTTCCTTTCTACTTATGTTGTCACTATTATTTGTATTTGTATTAGTGTTATTATTTTGCTTCTTATGCGTCCGTGTGAATTTCTTAATAAAATGATGGGGATAATTATTAATTATTAACGCTTCTTTTATGTGTTTCAATTCCTTATTTAAGTCCTTACAATGACTAGTGAGTTTCTCAGCTCTGTTATTTAGACATTTGACTAAACCCGCTTTAACTGACACTGGATGAGATGACTTGAAGTCTAGATATCTGTTAGAATGTGTTGGTTTTCTGTAGACGGTAGTATCTAACACATTCTAACAGATATCTAGACTTCAAGTCATCTCATCCAGTGTCAGTTAAAGCGGGTTTAGTCAAATGTCTAAATAACAGAGCTGAGAAACTCACTAGTCATTGTAAGGACTTAAATAAGGAATTGAAACACATAAAAGAAGCGTTAATAACTAATAATTATCCCCATCATTTTATTAAGAAATTCACACGGACGCATAAGAAGCAAAATAATAACACTAATACAAATACAAATAATAGTGACAACATAAGTAGAAAGGAAATCAACACCTCTATTGTGATACCATACAAGGAAGGAACATCAGAAACCATACGTAGGATTCTCAACAAGGTTGGAATTAGGGTGGCATTTAAACCAACAAACTCACTTAGAGGTAAGCTTTGTCGGCTAAAAGATCCGATAGAACCAATTAAGCAAAATAATATAATCTACCAAATTCCATGTAATGACTGTGAAGTCAAATACATAGGTCAAACTAGCCGGTCGGGGTCAGTTAGATTAACAGAACATAGGAATTTAGCTAAACATAGAACGGCAGACCCCAATAAGATCAATAACCTAGAAAAACACTCAGCCATTGCATTACATTCATTAACACACAACCACACAATAGGATGGGACAAAACCACTGTACTTAAGTCTAATATAGCTAGGTGGAGAGAGAGATTAATTACTGAATCTTTGTTCATCGAATCCACACCCAACACATGTAATAGGAATGACGCAACACCTATACCAGAGATATGGAAAACTTTACTACCAATCAAAAAACAAAAAAACAAAGAGAGATCAGGTGACAGGACTATAAAATCAGATGTCGAAAGAAGTGTGATTACATTGATATGATTATGAGCAATAATTTATGCTCGAAACGTAATCAATTAAATAATACTGTATCACTGTGCGCTTTATATCAAATAAACAAATCTAATATGGAACTACATTCTACCACAGTGCCCAAGTTTTTCACTTATATACACGCAATTATTCATGTCGCTATTCACGACTTTAGTCAAATACTCTAGATAACTTTACAGATTATTAATATTATTAATATTTACCCCTTGGGTTCCTAATGGAACATACAGCTTCAGTAGCACGTCTCCAATGCGCTCCGTCCTCGGAAATCTTTTGAACTTGGCTCCTCGACAACCCACAAGCTCTCATTCCTTCCGCACACCATCTCCTCCATGTCACCCTCACCTCGAACGCCCAACTCGTCGTCTCCCATCTGGATTCCACTCGACCACCTGGCCTGCCCCTTGATGTCCCCAATCGGCTTTCTCAGTGTATGCCCAATCCATCTCCACTTTCTTCCAAATACTTGTTGGGCAATGGGTTCTTAGTTGGTTCGTTGCCCGGCCAGAGTTCCTTGTCGCTTATTCTTATTATTCCAGCCATCTGATCTTCAGTATCGAATGAGTGTAGGTGGCAGTTATTGATGAATGCCTGTATTTGTTGGAAGTGCTTTTCTTGACGTGCCAAGTTTCTGAACTATAAAGCAGCACTGACTCGACCTTGGTGTTGAAAATCCGGATCTTGTTCCACATGCTGAGTGCGGAAGATCTCAACACTGGTTTCAGATTAATGAACGCCTATCTTGCTGTCTTTCTGCTTCTGGTTTTGACATCCTCGTCTGGGCCGCCTGTAGTTGAAATGATGCTGCTTTGCCTAGGTAGGCGAAAGAAGCTACTTCCTTCAGATTTCTCCCATTGATGGTGATTGGAGCTTGTTGCTGTTGTTGTTGTTGTTGTTGATGCTATTGTTGGTTGGGTATCTTCATCACCTCCGTCTTCTCTACATTCACTTGAAGTCCCGTCTCCCTTCGCTGCCTCGCCTCTTCTGTCAACTTGTTACTTTTCGCCTGTAGATCTTCACGCTTATGTGACACTAGACACAAGTCATCAGCGAAATCCAAATCTTCTACGATCTCTTCCTCCGTCCAGCGTATCCCCCTCTTCTCACTCCTCACGGTCCATTGCATGACCCAGTCCACCACAATCACGAATATCATCGGTGATAGTAGACAGACTTGTTTTACTCCTCACTGTCTTCACTTCAAAAGCATCACTGAGCTGAGCTTTCCATTGTGAATTACTTGGCATGTGGCGTCTTCATATAGTTGTTGAATGAGGCTGATAAAGGTTTGTGGTATTCCGTAGTGTTGAAGTAACTGCCAAATTACTTGTCGGTCAACGCTGTCAAAGGCCTTTTCAAAGTCGATGAAGTTAAGGTTGCGTTGAGTTGACTGCCATTCTATGATATGCTCTGTTCTATGATGATGCGTACGTAGCGTAGCACTGCAATTTGATCCGCACATGATTTGTTCTTCCTGAATCCAGCCAGCCAGCTAGCCTGTTCCGGTCGTAATTTTGAATCCAGAGCATCCTTTAATGTCTCCAGGATGATGTGCTTTAATATTTTGCTTTGAGTGGACAGCAGCATGATTCCGCGCCAGTTCTTGCAAGGACTTAGGTCGCCCTTATTCGGGAGTTTGACAAGGTAGCCCTTCTTCTAATCTATTGGCAGGTACCTTCCCTTCCTTCCAGACTATTCGCAGTAGTGGTGTGAGCATGTCCGCCACTGTTGTCTCTGCGTCTGTTCTCAGTGCTTCTGGCAGGATTCCATCTGGCTCCGCTGCTTTCTCGCATTTCAGTAGCTTTATGGCCCTTAGGACTTCGACTTTCGTCGGAGGGCTTGTGTTCACTTGTAGTTCTTCGGCTGGGCTGCTGGTGGTATTTCTGGACGAAATGCAGGTGGTGGTCGACTCAAGAGCTTTTCGAAGTGGTCGGCCCATCGTTTCCTTTGTTTCTCTTCTTTCGTAAGCAAATTTCCGTCATCATCTCTTATCCGTTTCATCTGTGTTGATATCTCCCCTCCCAGATAGTAACCTGGTAATTTGATACAATGTTGTCAGGTCTCCATCTCTCCTACCTACAGCCTGTTCTGCTTCACTTGCCAGTGTGTCGCAGAAGTGTCTTTTGTCTTTGCGCGCACTCTTCTTCACTTCTTTGTCCAGTGTTTTACACGTTGCACTCAGTTCCTCTTCTCGTCGTTCATCCTTGCACTGAACCGGTTTATCTTCTGCTTCACCATCCTCCTCTACTCTGTCAGCTTCCATGTGTCCATCGAGATCCATTCCATATCTTCCTTTCTAATACGGTTATGCAGGTTTCTTTTCACATAGCTTGCAAAGAGTTCCAGTGCTCATCCACACGGGTTTCTTCAGAAATGTTCCTCGATATCTCCCATTTCGTCTTGATGGCTGACGTGGAGATTTTCCTCGTAGTTTCGTCCCTCAGTTGCTGAGTGTTTAACTCGAACTGTGGTCTATCACCAACTTCCTTGAAAGCTAACAACTTCATTTTAAAGGTAGGTTCCTTGCACTAGATAGTGAGTGGTGTCAACCTACATCTGCTCCTCTTCGTAGTTTGATCTTGTGTCCAGTGGGCTGCGTCTCCACTTCTCCACATTCAGATGAAGTCGATCTGATTTTCAGTGTGTCCTGGTGTCTGGTGAAATTCATGTCGCTCGCTTTGTGGATATCCTTGTGCTTGAACACAGTGCCTCACTGCAATCACTAAATCGTTGAATGCACAGAATTCTGCAAACGATTCTCCGTTCTCCTTCATTTCAACTGGCGCTTGTCGGGCCATGGTTAGTTCTCTTCTAGTGTTATCCGCTCCCAGTTGGCATTCATGTCACCCCACCCATTAGAATTTTGATGTCTCCATATACAGTCTTGTCCAGTGTTGATTGCAGTTGTCCGTAGAATTCCTCCTCCTTCTCTTCACCTGTACTATTTGTAGGTGCGTAGCATTGTATGATTGTGACCTTCCTTCCTGTTGAGTTGAACCTAGCTATCATGATCCCGATGCTGGAGGAGATTGGTTCCGACTGCATGAGGGTCTTCGATGCCTTCGAGGGGACATCATGATAGTCACTCCAATACTCAGTGTGCTCGTAATTGTCGTCTAGGTGACCGGAGTAGATTATTGATTCTCCAGTTGACATTTTGGAGAGTCCACTTCCATTCCATCTGCTCTCGCAAATTCCTAGCACCTCAGTGCTATACCTTCCCATCTCCTTTGCAATCTGGGCGACCTTGCTATGTTCAAACATAGTGCGGACATTCTGTGTCCCCATTCTTACAATCCATAACATCGAGACAAGAGAAGATAGATCGGCCAATTGGCTTCCTCAAGGCTTTCACCAACCGGAGTCATTTTGTCTCTCCGGTTCCAGCGAGGAATGATTCTGTTTTTATTTTTTACATTTTGTTTGCGCTTTGAAGTTCCTGTAGTGGTTGGATTGATTTTACGGGGTAGGGTTGCTAGCTCTATGCCCAACGTTTTCTCCTCACCCGGGCTTCTGACCAGCTAGTAACTGGTGAACTAGTTAACCATCGAGGTAATAATATAATTGTTTGATTGAATTCAGGTTATACCCACTAACATCAATCAGTATGCATTATCTACATATTGATACTGTTGTCAAGATGGCAGCAATTTCTTGGGTGGTCTTAGAAATCACTTGTTAATAACACGTACTGTTATAAAGTTCCAGAACACTATTAGATCTTTATCATTTTCTATGGTCTGGAGTGTCTTTTTATTCGAAGAACGTTCATAATGAGAAGCAGTTTGAAATTTCCATCGGTAATATATCATTAGATTCATGAACATTAATGCAGTTATTTGCTTTCGAATCAGTAATATTATCCGGAAACAAATAGCGGCTAAGAGGAATGAACGTCTAGCACTTGACTATACGCTGTATCTACCTAATTTTTCTTTTAAAAAACAGACTGAACGAGCTCAGTTACAAGAAACAGTTAATCGGCTTGAAGGTGAACTGGCTGCACGATCTGATGCATTGCGTAAAGCAGCGATTGATGCTACACGTGTACAGATGGAACATGAATTAGAATTAAATAATAAAACAAGTAATTTAAATGAATCCCTTTACCATATGGAAAATAAATGGAAAGAGGCATGTAAAATGATCGAAAAATTGGAAAAAGAATGCAAAGATCAAGAATTTAAACTCATAGAAGCTTCAACAAATGTAAGTCATTAACTAGAAAATTACCTATATTAGTGCGTATATATATAATAGAGTATTACTTAATTAAAAATAATATTGTTCCCTGATATTTCTCGCTTTGAATGTAAGTCACTTATCTTTAAAGAGTATAGCAGCTTGTGTTGTACTTAAAAGGCAACCTAGGCCTCTGGATTACGAACTTAGTGCACTACCGAATAAATCAGGAAATCAGACGTCTAAGTTTCTGTTTCACATTGGCTACTGAAATTATACATATCTATCATATGAACTAAAGGTACCTAAAGAATTGCACTTCATCACATTTACTGTCGCATTATTTCTTTATTTTCCAATCAAATTCAGACAGAGCCATATGGGACAAACAACCTGATGTATAGTAGTTAGAGTCAACAAATTATAGGAATCATGGTTAGATTGAGAAGAATCCTGGTATACAGACAAAATGAAATTGGTGATTCTTCATTTGCCTTGCGTTTGGAAGCGGTTTAATGATTATATACGAGTGGATGTGTTTCTGAACTAAAATTTAAACCCAGAGAGCGATAGATTTAGTTCAGATGTAAAATATTGAGTGCTATGAATTTTAATCCCGATCCGAAATTTTGTTGGAAATCCAAGTTATTTACTTTTTCCAGATAATATATACTTTTGAAATTCAGGCGTAATTTTTACAGACTCTTATATTCATCACCAAAGCATTTTTATAAATTTTCAAAAAATGAATTGACACGGTTTTAATCTCCATATAATGTAAAAGTTTACCCACAAACAGATATTCATGCCTAGTGAGTGCCAACAAGCTTGAATTCTAAGTTTAGAGCCTGAGTAATTTGTTCTCAGTATTTAAGCACTTTATTCGAAATAGGATTTGTGTTTTACCACTACTGCTATATTTGATGAGGACAAAACCGAACACTTGAATTAGGATGACAGAAACTAAATAAACAAAGTAAGTAAGACTGATGGGTAGAGTTTTAATACTATCTTTATAGAAACCTTTCATGTGTTTTAATAATTGTTATAATCACAATGAGTATATTTGCGCGAAATAAAACGGCACGCCCAATCATTTCTGAATGAAGACATTGCATGAAATACTTAGCAGTTAATGTTCGCATCACTAATTTTTATAGTGACCTACTTTTGCAAACTAACTGGTGATTGTGCTTATTATGATGGGCTTATGGTAGTACTTTTAATCGGTAATTAATGCAAAAAACGTTAGTTTCAGAAAAAAGAAGAAGTAATTTAGCAAAGAACATTTTCTCCTCCGACGATATCATTTTTTAGAGCTATACAATCGTATTTATATACATCACAAACACATAACAATCTATTATTAAACCATAGGGTATAACTGCATCATTTACGTAGTGCTGACAAACTAGAATCAAGAATGAAAAGTAGTTGTGTAATAATCTTAGGCAGTAGAAATAATGAGAAAGGCAAGGAGTTTGACAAGGTGGAAATTGTTGCGAATACTGAGTGTCCACTAGACAAATAGATGTAAGGAAGATGAAGAATGAGACAAGGGTCATAACGAAGGTGATAATAATAAAGTAACTAATTATACTGAAACAGAAAAATGTGAGTGTTAAGAGCATGGTAAGATAAGAGAGATTGAACATACTTCATCTGGACGCAGAGATCAGGTTTGAACTGATGAATTTCCAATACTTACTCTGTGCACAACTGTCAAAGGCGTACTCCTTTTGAACTATTCCATTTGACTACATAAATGACATTGAAGGAGGATTCTGGTCGGGCTTTATGTACAGAGTTGACCAAATGTTCAAAAATTGAACCGTTAATTCATTTACATTTTCCCCTCGGTAGCCATGCAGGACAGTGCTATGAGATAATGGGTGTCCTACGTTGATGTTGTGGGACTCCTTACAGGGATCACTAAAAAACTGTACGATCACGTTTATCGAAATGTGTATTATATATTGGTATCAAAGTGAGGGTGTGCTATAACATTTATCAGAAAAGCTTTGTTTCCGTTATAATTTCATTGGTTATAAGCTTATCAAGGCCTATGCAGTAATTTAATCAGGTGAGTTAGTAGATACTGCTCATAAATTCATCTCACAGCGACAACTTCAAAGCATTTACTTGAGTTTTGTTTGGGCAGAATCACCTGCGTAGATATAAATATAGTCTTTAATACCATACTTTGTACAGCGAAAGCAGCGGCATGTGCAAGCTAATAATGTCATTTTCACATGACTGAAGCTGCGGTTATCATATCAAACTATCCATGTCTTTGGATTCAAAAATAACATTTTCAGGTGTAGGCCTCCTACCTTAGCCTACCACAGACTAATCGCTTTTTACTCATTCCTGCATTTTTCGTCAGTTTTTTCGACGTAACATTAAACTTGATGTTTCCTCTTTTTTATTCTCATTAAACGAATTCTTTAGGTTTTCTTCCTTTCGTGTTTTCTGATGTCTAATCTACACATAGACTAACGATACTGACTTTCTCTTCCTATTTGTTGTTAATACTACTGCTAGTTTGATGCCACTTAACTCCTACTATTTTCGTCTATCACTTTCACATAAGAAATAAATGACTATTTGAGGTTCAAAGACAAGAATTTCTACTTGATGATATGCACGTAAGTTACAAATACTGTTGAGATTTTTCGGTGTTACTAATAAACGCAATGGTGAAGGCTTTCGAATTGAAAAATACTAATTTTTATCGATGCGGTTCCCATCATGTAGTTTATATACCTTACAAAAATAATGAAGTTAACAGTTTTTTTATATTTTTGTTTGACCATTGGATATTGGTTGGTAATAGAGTAGTGATGAAAATAAACTACTAAAACAAAAGTTGGATTCAGTTCAGTCAAAAATAGAACATTGTGCAATGAACTAGAAACAATCAAATTATCGAAAGAAACTTTACAGAATGAGTACACTCAAGTGCAGGATGAATTAAATAAGCTGAAGTAAATGCTCCTTATTTACGTTGTGTAACATATTTTGAAGGTCGTTGAAAATTTAAATACCTATACCTTGTAACCGTTTTTAAAGAGTGAATGAATTTTCTTGTCTGTCAATGATTATTAAAACTACCTAATCAAGGAAAAATAACTGAATATGATTGATTCTAAGAATAACAAAAGACAATTTAGTAACACAAACATAAAAATAGGAATATTTAATGGATAAGTCTATTTGATGGGTTGTAGTCACAACTGTTCCATCTTCGAAATAATCCCCATTAAATATCTGTAGCCTCTTAGCAGCTAGATTTTATTGGACTTTTATGTACTGAGGAGTGTGATTTTTATCATGTTATTCCTGAAAATTAAATGCCAGTTTGGAAATTTCTAGGATAGTGTTTTGAAATTAGTTGTCACTTATAGACAATGTGGTGAATTAGTAAATCACGTCAAAACACCAAATGGCAAGTTCTGAACCAAGCCAAGCAGCTTCTACTTGTATCATTCATCTAAGAATTAACGACAAGAATCTAGTTATGAGTATCAGTTATCATTTGACTATCTGAGATAACAGTAGTTTGGGAGACTAGTATTTATACTGGGTGATGATTAAAGGTGGCATAAATATCAGTTACTTTGAAGTTTATCGATCTTTTCAAGTTACTTACAGCTAAACATACTGAGATCTTATGAAGCTTAATTGGCCTTGCAGTATCGCCTGGGACCATTCACTTTAGTTAATTAGTCTGTATCGAGATGGGCAACCAGTTAACCAAAAGCTTTTCCGTCTCAATAAAAGACGTCATTCGAGACGAATGAAGCGAAAAGCTTTTGATTATCTTTCTTTGAACTTCAGACTACTTTTTGATATACTACTTTTGTTATATTGAAAAACTAAAGGAAGAAAATTCAGTCTACTGCGGAAAAGGTATCAGCTGCTGTACAAACTGTCCAAAAATTTGCCAATGCCAGCACAAATACAGAGAAGATAGAACAAGATGAGAGAATACCATTACCAAAACTTCAACTTTCAAGGTATGTAATCTTTTCTACAAAATTCATGAAATAGACCATTCCTATAAAATTTCAAATCTTTAAGCTAGGTGAATACGTTTTCGCAACAAATGCAGGAGATAATGATAACGTTTCAGTATTCCACGAGCTTTGAGGTTTGTACTTTGACTTTACATTACCAGGATAGGCTACTTCATCAGCATTCATTTCGTGCAGCGATGGAACATTTTTGAATCATATAAATCTTTACAAACGTTGTCTATCGACCTTGAGAGTTATTGACTTGTGGGTGAATATGACATTTTCATCTTTCTAATCATTAAGCCCACAATTGGCAAAAGAACTACAATAGGATAATCACTGCACAACAACATATACTGAAACCAATCCCGGGAGTAAAGATGAGCCAGCTGACGACTGTGACAGATATGACAAAGAAAACCAACGGTGAAAAACGAAGAGAAAAACTGGGAAACAAGTTCTATCTATCCAAACCAGAAGGAAAAGAAACAAAACAGGAATGAGTAGCAAACCTTTAAGAATGAAACTTATCCTCAAAAGGATAGAGTTCGCTTCGAAAAGGAATAAACTGCAGTGCGGAGAATGCGAATATGTTGAACTTCCGCGCAGTCCCTGAATTTATACTTGAAACTGTATGGATAACAGACACAAAACCTACAACAGCTAGTCATGCGTCTATTAAAAATCGATAGAAAGAAGCACCAATTCAACACAAGTGAAAAGGAAGCACTGAACTCACTCATGTCAAACAAGATAAATACAAGGTAGATACACCATTGCAACCGACAGTGTGTCTACTGGGAACACTGTCAGTTAATTTGTCCAAAGAACTATGCATTAAACTAAAACACCTTTTTGACGGGACTCAACACTCAGCCAATTCAGTAACTCAATTCCTGGGAAAATGAAAGACTTTAAAATAGACAACGGTGAAAAAATTGGTATCTCTTGATGCAACTGCACTTTTTATATCAATCAACCTAAATTTCAACAAAAAGACAGTGAATCTGCTTTTCAACAATGACTAGATACTTCAAAAGTGTACAAACGTTTACACTACAAACTTGGTAGGAGTAAACATTCTGTCTATCACTATATACTTTTAGTTTAACTAGGAGAAGTACAAACAAGTTAAAGAAACTACCACAGGTTCATCAGTGTCTAGACTGATGGCTGAAGCAATGATTAGAATAGGTGGTCATCAAAATAATCAAACCAAAATTTCAGATTTACTACTCTGACCATACTTTCATAACTACCAAAACAAGTAAACTGAAAAAACACGTTCAGTTTCATCAACCAAAACTTTGAAGGTCTTCAGCTCACAAATGAAAAGGGAGAAAATGACGACAATTCGTTCTTAGATGTGCTAATCAGAAGGACACACGATTGAACCTTTTAAACTCGTGTAGAGGAAGGTGACACACACAGATCAGGTTTTGAACTACAACAGTACCGACTTAGCATGTCAAGAAGATTTGTTCATAAACACTTTCCGCACACTCTGGTACTGATTGCAACATTCAATAACTGAAGAAGTCAGAAGAAGATCAATTTTACAAACTGTTCACAGTCAATAATGCTCCAGCCAACCTCATCAAGAAGTGCTTATCAACAGAACACACATAAGGATAACTGTCTTGACCTATAAATTACTTAACCATACGTCAAAGCCATTCCTGAAAATGTCAACAGATAACTTCATTTTTTTTCGGTATCAGTATAGCACACAAACCATCCAACTCCCTTCAGAAAATATCAGGCAAGTTAAGGATCCTTTAACCAAAGAAGAAAAGCTAACTATGAAAGGCAAAACTAGTTGCAAGACTGTCAACGTCGCTATGTTGGTCAATCCAGTCGCTGAATAGGCCAAATAATTTAAGAGCATCAAATAGAAGTCAGACGACATATGTCATCACTGATATTGAAGCATGTAGGTGAACACGAACACAACTGGGATTCGAACAAAGTAGAAGCACAACAACAAGCAAGCTACAAAACTACAAGAGAGTTCCTTGGAGCGTGGTACTACAACTTAGTGGCAAGCAACATACACGTGGACACTGATCGAATATACAGGCTGCTAAGAAGGGAATTCAGTCAGGCAAATCAATAACCAGACATTAGGTCTTCAGAATAGGTCAAACGATAGTAACAACTATAAAGGTCAACATATGATATGAAAGTAGAATGGGTCAGCTCTACCCACAAGCCAGTAACCCTAAAGGTTGGCAAATGCCCCTTATGAAAATTTATGCAGCTTAAAAATGTTTCACTTCTATATGAAATGAATGCTAATGAAGTCACCTAGCCAGGTAATGAACCGTCCACGAACGAAAATCAAATGTCCGAGAACACCAAACAGTTATCTTCCTCATCATCAGCTACAAATGTTCTCCGATATCACAGGAGATTATATTTTTTGCCAGTAATAATGCTTTTTTCGGGATACTAGGGAGTTTTGCATTTTAAATATATTGTAAGAAAGGAGCTGAACACAAAATTCGTGACCAGTCTCAATCACACAACTGGTTATTACTAGTTCTATTCAAAGAAATCATCACTCATACTAACCTTGAGTAAATTTATCCTCTTACTCAATTACATAACCATAAATATCGAAAAGACATCTTGCATTTAAAAACTATGAGAAGTGATTCAGTATTATAGCAGTAGATGGAGTTGACCCATTAAGTAGTGCATTTGAAATTAACCAGGCTTGGATCTTAAAAATTATGGTCTAGGTAAGTTATGAGATATTTGTATGACACAGAACTACATCGTATACTTACTCTTAATAGTAATAATCGACCACTCTCAATATACAATATGAAATCCTTATACATTACTAATAAACTAATGATTAAATGGCAGAAAATTACTCATGAAACTAGTTTATGTAGGTTGATAGTATGAAGCGAGAAATAAGTGTAAAAGAACTAGTAAACTACATAAAGAAAGCTTTATAAGGAGTGATTACAAGTTTACATAAGGAAAATAAAACAAACAGTGTCTGACATTTATATACATAAGGGAATGACCAACATGTACATAATTACTTTATATCGAAGTAAATATATAGCAGATAAAGAATTTCTTACGAAAACAGAATTGTGATACGCTAGTTTTTTATGGTTATAGTTTTGGCCGTTGACATTTGGCAAAGAAGCATCTTATATGTTAGTTTATTTGAAAGGTGTACAGGAGAGAACAAAATCTTAACTTTAGCTGAGTTGTTGGCTTTCAACGCATGCATTTGTATGGAGTCAGTGACTATTTTAACTTCTACTTTACTAAGCTAAAATGATGAACATTCCTGTGAGTTACTGAAGCGATTCTTCATAGTGATTCTGATGTAAACTACTTCAAAAAGGTAGGTTTTATTTACACACTGGCTCGGATAAACGATGAAATTTAGTTTGCGACCCGTGCTCCATCCTCAGGAAGATAAAATAACTCTGCTCGTAAAAATAACTATTGGTAAATAAGCGGTAAAAATGTTTTGGGCTCTTATGTGAGCTATTAATTCGTGCTTTTGAAGACATACTACTGTTGTACTGCAGTGTAATGCATAACATTTCAAATGCTTCTGTGGAACCAGTTACGTCAGCCACAGCTTCCGGACCTAAATTTTTAAATGCTGGCAAATGCTTCCTAAAGTGGTTAAGTAAAGGTGTGATGAATGAAATTAACACTTCTATATTGACTGGCGCGCCTAGTTCAAACGAAGTATATGGTCGAAATGGATAATTCATTTTCTATTATTTAATGAATTTCCGTCAACTTGTCAGAAGGCACCTGGCTCCGAACCTCTCAAACTTCGGAAATGGTGGTAATCAGCATTAAACAACTCAAGTTATGTCCAGAAAAAGCAGATGTTGCTGCTACAGCTACTTTGGCCTCATCTAGGATTCACGAATTCCTAAGCATCCTGCTGCATTTAAGCTCATTTTCAACTTCACAGTGTAGATATTCTCTCATCCTCATAATCTGGAATAGTTTTGTCACTTTCTCTTAACTCATTTTGTTTTCTAACATAATTAATATTTCACTAGGTTATTTTTCATTCCTCAAATTAGCTCTTTTAGTTTATCATATCCTGCTGTCATGCACCCTGTCCAATCATTTTTACTGAACTATCTTCGTTTAACCAATTTGCATTCACACTCATCTAAATTTCATTTCCCTTTCTACTTATGTTAGGCTTTACTTGTAAAACTTTAATTATTTAAGTTACTATGATTAATTTTGACCTTATAATGGTACATGAGTTGTATAATCATCTAGATAATCACCTATTTTAAAATGAATTCCAGTAATAATTGATTCTGATGTTAACGTTCGCGCAAGACTTTTCTGAAGAGAATTCCTCAAGTGTATAGTATTATCAACAACAGTTAACAGAAATCTCTTTATTATTGAAGCAAAATTATACAGTATAGAAATATAACTGTGGACCTGAATTCTTGTCTCCACCATCATATTCCTTTTATTTATTTAAACGATTTTTAAAACACTATTTTTTGAGAGTTTTACTGTGCTTAAAAGAAGATACTGAATTTTCCTATTTCTCTATGCTTTGTTATTCTTTACATATATAGAACCAAAAGTTGTTAGTGTTAATATTAGTGTAAAACTTGAGCACTGTAGTAGAATGTAATTCCAGATTACATTTATTTATTTGATAAACAGCTCACAGTGACACAGTATTATTTACTTCATGACGTTTCGAGCATAAAGTATCATATCATATCACTGATATTATTAGACGTTATGGAGTAATGTCACAAGTGAGTACGCTTATAGTCGAACAAAAAGTAATGCTATCCATTCAAAGACTAAAAGGTTATCATGCATTCGCAATGGAATCTGTAGACTGAATTTGATAGCACAGTTTCTATGTGTATCAAGTCCTAAAATCTTCCTGATTACAACTAATCACTATTTCAAACTTTTAAGTATATGTCTGACCGAAATTATCTTTCAGTGAAAATGCTAAACATATCACTATATACATTTTTCTTTTGCAGCAGTAGACGAAATCTTATTCGGAACAGATGAAAACATTCAATTTGTCACCTAATGAACAGGAAAAGCTTCCTGATTGTGATATCAGTAGTCCTGAAAATTCAGCTGACTCAATTGAAATTAGAGTCAAAGCACTGAAACAAGCTAATCGGTATTTAAGAATGGAAGTTGAAAATGCCTGCAAAATGTTAAATTCAAGCGTACTAAACAAAAGTAAAATGGAGGATGAATTTCTGTCTATGCCAAAGACAAAATATCCAAATTCCTTTCAGTTTGATGCTGGAAATCATAAACACAAGTGAGTTAAGTAAACAACGGAGAAAGTTGCCGTCCAGATTTAGACTTGATGATGTTCCAGAAGCGAAAAATATCTTAATAACTATGGTACATGGAATATTGCCAACTTTGCTAGTCATTGAGATTCCTCTGTGTTTTGTCATAAGGGAGTTTGCGACCACCAATATTGATGAATGATGAATGTCACTGACCTATGACTCAGTTCATGGAGAACTCAAGAGATATACTATAAGACCTCGTTATTTTGTATTGTTTTAGGATTACAAGCTCCTTGCAGTTTACTAACTTCCTCGGCCGTTGTTTTCATTGCAATCTGAATATTAAGCTACTTCAGACTATGAACGGCTGCTATATCATGAAAACTGTTTAGGTGCCTTCTTCTTCTGCTTCTTCTTACACAACCAATAGCCTTATCTTTAAATCGAGTGCAAAGTAACCATCTAGCTGTACATATATCACACCCAGTCAGAAGAATGGGTATTGTTTTTTGCAGCGAACATGTGGCCAGAACTAGGTTGATTACTAAATTGTCAAGAAAAAACAGCAACCCTATATCAATCCATTTTTAAGTTTCAAAAATAGCCTTTCGCCGGATTGATTAAAATTTGTCAGTATACTTACCATTAGTTCATAAAGTGAGATGTTGACACTTAACAGTAAACGGTAACAGTCTTTCAAATAGATGTAATAAATCAGTGGTTATAAGTATACATGTGGATAGCTAATATCTTCAAATGATTTCCTATTCGACCCCACCACTTACTGTATTGTGTTTGACATATGAAACATAAGGAAATACGCTGAGGTGAAGACTGTTACGCACAATAGACGTATTAATCCCTGCTTCACTTATGAATATACCTGGTAACTAAAATGGAGGTGACGTCTGGTCAGCTAAGTGTTTTCACAGTTCCTAGGTGGCCTTACATAGGTTTTATTTCACCTGCTGCTTATAACCCTGCACGTACCAGATCATAGCCACAATAGAGATATATTGTTGTGACTCATTTTGATTATACCAGTTCTTACGATTGACTGAAGATTTCAGTAGCTTGAACTGAGACACAAGCGTTAATGAGTGATATAGAATAATGACAGAAACATTGAGTTAAAGGAAACTAATTGTAGCATTGCATTTTATCTCTGTTTACTGTCAGTTTGAATGTGCAGAGATCGAACTTTCTCTTCTAACTTCAGGTTGGATTTTTCGAAGAACCTGATGAGTATACAGAGTATGGAGATGAAAGTATTGTTGAACAAGAATCAAAAACAGTTTGGTTGGAAAGAGTTGAATCGGTGAGTTTTGAAATCTGAAAATGTTATCACAATGACATTTTTGTACAGTATTCAAACAAGATTATCCGTTGCGATTAATGAGTCAACAATAAATCCCCATGGAATATAACTTAATGCTCGTTAAAATAAGGATTCCTATAGTTTTATCAGTTGCAGTTAGTGATCAAAATGGAGTGGTAATCCAAAGTTTACCTCAAACTTTGGAGTTGAAGTTGATGACTTTAAAAATTATAGAATATACATTTTCGTTTAATATTTAGAGAGAGACAGTCGAATCGGCGTTTGCCCATGCTACAAATTGTAGACTTAGTGTCTCTTCGCACAGAAATGCAGCTCGGTGAATTCACCGTTTTTATATCCCCTGTCCCTAGGTACGTCTACATGTTGTGAGTTAGAAAACAAATATAGGCTTAGTAATTCTTTTTTTTGTAAAGATTGATAAGTATCGATTTCAAATGTCTTGCTCAAGTTCCCTGACTACTTTGTTTCGATGACATAGTTTGGAAAAGGAAGTACATCAGTTCTAAAATGTAATGATCTAAAACTTGTCACAAATAATACTGCGGTGATTCCACATACGTAATAATCACATAGTGAAAGAAAGAAATCAAGTGCTCGCCTATTTCAAAGGTATAACTTTCGCAGTTTAAGCGACTACTTTGTAATGTTAATACCCCATGCAAATTGCTATTAGATAGTGTAGAGGTGAAAATTAGCTAAAAAGCAGCTGAGTTCCTCTTTCACAGTGTTCTACTTTCCACTAACATGAATAAACCCTTAATCCACCTTTTTCCATCAGTCCTAATAACCGCAACTCCCTTCACACTAGACCTTTTAATCACTGCTGGCATCCACCTAATAATACCTATCACCGCTGCAATCTCAACCTTTCTAGCTTTCTATTACCACTACTTCTGATAGTCATTGCGTAGATTTTTGTAAGTGCAAATGTAGTCTACTTTCAATCCTCACTGCATCCACAAAATAATTCGATAAATTTCAATGTACCCAATGCTTGAAGAACTTGCCAGGATTCAAGAGTTTGATTTGAAGATCATTTACAGTGTCTAGCCCAGTTTCATAGCACGTCGAGGATGATGATAGGTTTCTTCAGGATGTGTGGTATTATTGTGTTGTTCCTTAAATTCAATATGCAAGAAAAGTATTCGCCATGGAATTCATGGTTTGCTTTTGATATGACATGTGAAACGTCCTTTAATTTGTCTCACTGTATCTAGTAAGCCTCAGCAACAGGTCTTCTAACCATTGTGATCGCTGTTCAAGCATGTATTCCAAAATGAGCTAATATCTTGCACCAACTGATGGCAAATGGAATATCTGTATCCTCCGTTAAAATGAGAGGTCCCTTGTCAAACAATGTCTCTATATGCGCCCATAGTTAGCTATGGACTATAGTAAGTAGTTAACTGTATACAGTCGTACTAGCCCCTATGAATATCACTTAGCTGAACTCAATTAATACTGAAGAGCCTTTCTGTCCAGCTTATATCGCTGATGTTTGTATTGACATAACCCGTTAATAAAACTAGATCTGAATATTCATTTGCATGCGAGAGGCTAGATAGTTTACCAGTGAATTCAGTCTGTAATTTGTCTCAGTTGTAGACAAAAGCTGTGGGGGTGGGACCACACAAAGATGCTGAATATCATTTATTATTATTATTATCAGTAGTTATTTGTCCTTTGGGTTCCTAGTGGAGCATACGGCTTCAGTAGCACGTCTCCAATGCGCTCCGTCCTCGGAAATCTTTTGAACTTGGCTCCTCGACAACCCACAAGCTCTCATTCCTTCCGCACACCATCTCCTCCATGTCACCCTCACCTCGAACGCCCAACTCGTCGTCTCCCATCTGGATTCCACTCGACCACCTGGCCTGCCCCTTGATGTCCCCAATCGGCTTTCTCAGTGTATGCCCAATCCATCTCCACTTTCTTCCAAATACTTGTTGGGCAATGGGTTCTTAGTTGGTTCGTTGCCCGGCCAGAGTTCCTTGTCGCTTATTCTTATTATTCCAGCCATCTGATCTTCAGTATCGAATGAGTGTAGGTGGCAGTTATTGATGAATGCCTGTATTTGTTGGAAGTGCTTTTCTTGACGTGCCAAGTTTCTGAACTATAAAGCAGCACTGACTCGACCTTGGTGTTGAAAATCCGGATCTTGTTCCACATGCTGAGTGCGGAAGATCTCAACACTGGTTTCAGATTAATGAACGCCTATCTTGCTGTCTTTCTGCTTCTGGTTTTGACATCCTCGTCTGGGCCGCCTGTAGTTGAAATGATGCTGCTTTGCCTAGGTAGGCGAAAGAAGCTACTTCCTTCAGATTTCTCCCATTGATGGTGATTGGAGCTTGTTGCTGTTGTTGTTGTTGTTGTTGTTGATGCTATTGTTGGTTGGGTATCTTCATCACCTCCGTCTTCTCTACATTCACTTGAAGTCCCGTCTCCCTTCGCTGCCTCGCCTCTTCTGTCAACTTGTTACTTTTCGCCTGTAGATCTTCACGCTTATGTGACACTAGACACAAGTCATCAGCGAAATCCAAATCTTCTACGATCTCTTCCTCCGTCCAGCGTATCCCCCTCTTCTCACTCCTCACGGTCCATTGCATGACCCAGTCCACCACAATCACGAATATCATCGGTGATAGTAGACAGACTTGTTTTACTCCTCACTGTCTTCACTTCAAAAGCATCACTGAGCTGAGCTTTCCATTGTGAATTACTTGGCATGTGGCGTCTTCATATAGTTGTTGAATGAGGCTGATAAAGGTTTGTGGTATTCCGTAGTGTTGAAGTAACTGCCAAATTACTTGTCGGTCAACGCTGTCAAAGGCCTTTTCAAAGTCGATGAAGTTAAGGTTGCGTTGAGTTGACTGCCATTCTATGATATGCTCTGTTCTATGATGATGCGTACGTAGCGTAGCACTGCAATTTGATCCGCACATGATTTGTTCTTCCTGAATCCAGCCAGCCAGCTAGCCTGTTCCGGTCGTAATTTTGAATCCAGAGCATCCTTTAATGTCTCCAGGATGATGTGCTTTAATATTTTGCTTTGAGTGGACAGCAGCATGATTCCGCGCCAGTTCTTGCAAGGACTTAGGTCGCCCTTATTCGGGAGTTTGACAAGGTAGCCCTTCTTCTAATCTATTGGCAGGTACCTTCCCTTCCTTCCAGACTATTCGCAGTAGTGGTGTGAGCATGTCCGCCACTGTTGTCTCTGCGTCTGTTCTCAGTGCTTCTGGCAGGATTCCATCTGGCTCCGCTGCTTTCTCGCATTTCAGTAGCTTTATGGCCCTTAGGACTTCGACTTTCGTCGGAGGGCTTGTGTTCACTTGTAGTTCTTCGGCTGGGCTGCTGGTGGTATTTCTGGACGAAATGCAGGTGGTGGTCGACTCAAGAGCTTTTCGAAGTGGTCGGCCCATCGTTTCCTTTGTTTCTCTTCTTTCGTAAGCAAATTTCCGTCATCATCTCTTATCCGTTTCATCTGTGTTGATATCTCCCCTCCCAGATAGTAACCTGGTAATTTGATACAATGTTGTCAGGTCTCCATCTCTCCTACCTACAGCCTGTTCTGCTTCACTTGCCAGTGTGTCGCAGAAGTGTCTTTTGTCTTTGCGCGCACTCTTCTTCACTTCTTTGTCCAGTGTTTTACACGTTGCACTCAGTTCCTCTTCTCGTCGTTCATCCTTGCACTGAACCGGTTTATCTTCTGCTTCACCATCCTCCTCTACTCTGTCAGCTTCCATGTGTCCATCGAGATCCATTCCATATCTTCCTTTCTAATACGGTTATGCAGGTTTCTTTTCACATAGCTTGCAAAGAGTTCCAGTGCTCATCCACACGGGTTTCTTCAGAAATGTTCCTCGATATCTCCCATTTCGTCTTGATGGCTGACGTGGAGATTTTCCTCGTAGTTTCGTCCCTCAGTTGCTGAGTGTTTAACTCGAACTGTGGTCTATCACCAACTTCCTTGAAAGCTAACAACTTCATTTTAAAGGTAGGTTCCTTGCACTAGATAGTGAGTGGTGTCAACCTACATCTGCTCCTCTTCGTAGTTTGATCTTGTGTCCAGTGGGCTGCGTCTCCACTTCTCCACATTCAGATGAAGTCGATCTGATTTTCAGTGTGTCCTGGTGTCTGGTGAAATTCATGTCGCTCGCTTTGTGGATATCCTTGTGCTTGAACACAGTGCCTCACTGCAATCACTAAATCGTTGAATGCACAGAATTCTGCAAACGATTCTCCGTTCTCCTTCATTTCAACTGGCGCTTGTCGGGCCATGGTTAGTTCTCTTCTAGTGTTATCCGCTCCCAGTTGGCATTCATGTCACCCCACCCATTAGAATTTTGATGTCTCCATATACAGTCTTGTCCAGTGTTGATTGCAGTTGTCCGTAGAATTCCTCCTCCTTCTCTTCACCTGTACTATTTGTAGGTGCGTAGCATTGTATGATTGTGACCTTCCTTCCTGTTGAGTTGAACCTAGCTATCATGATCCCGATGCTGGAGGAGATTGGTTCCGACTGCATGAGGGTCTTCGATGCCTTCGAGGGGACATCATGATAGTCACTCCAATACTCAGTGTGCTCGTAATTGTCGTCTAGGTGACCGGAGTAGATTATTGATTCTCCAGTTGACATTTTGGAGAGTCCACTTCCATTCCATCTGCTCTCGCAAATTCCTAGCACCTCAGTGCTATACCTTCCCATCTCCTTTGCAATCTGGGCGACCTTGCTATGTTCAAACATAGTGCGGACATTCTGTGTCCCCATTCTTACAATCCATAACATCGAGACAAGAGAAGATAGATCGGCCAATTGGCTTCCTCAAGGCTTTCACCAACCGGAGTCATTTTGTCTCTCCGGTTCCAGCGAGGAATGATTCTGTTTTTATTTTTTACATTTTGTTTGTGCTTTGAAGTTTCTGTAGTGGTTGGATTGATTTTACGGGGTAGGGTTGCTAGCTCTATGCCCAACGTTTTCTCTCACCCGGGCTTCTGACCAGCTAGTAACTAGTGAACTAGTTAACCAGGCGAGGTTAAAGCTTGTATAGAATGAAATAAAGAATCTCATGGACGGCTTTCGACAGAAATCCAGATTAAGAAAATATTCTTTAAACTTAAATGTTATGCCTATACTCCCAGAGTCTGGTAATTGAATCTATAGATCAGTGAAGTTTGAATCGTGTAAGGCTGCTACGATCTTCAGATGAATTCAAGTAAGTAATAATATTCTGATCTCAGGTTGGTATTCATCATAGAATGACACATGTTGGAGGAACATTGGAGACCTAGGAGCACTGGACCACTGTTTCGTCCTAGTGGCTAAATAGTAACGTGCTGGCCACGGGAACTGAAGGTCCAGGGTGCGATTTCGGAAACGGGTCATGGGTTCGCACTGCCAGAGTCCAATACTAGTAAGAAATAGGTGTCCAGTCCTTCCGGGTTTCCAATGTTCCTTTAACTAATGTCGGTCCGTGATGAATACGAACCTGAAATCAATAAATCCCCACAAACCCCCAAAATGAATATGTTGATCATAAATATGTGTCTTGGAAACGGAAAACCGTAGCATAATAATTCTGGAGTTTCTGCTAATAAGGTTCGTTGTTTGATTTGATATAAAGTACAGACACCTGTCACTTCAGCATGTGATTCGCAACTCAATTCCTAGACATAAGGTATGCTGCTTCATGAAGCTGAAGTCGGGAGCTCAGGCTGCATAAGACAAAGAATCTGAAGATAGTTAATGATATGACTACAGTATGCCTTAAATAACCGACATTTCATTTCTTAGTGAAAATCAGATTGCCTCAAACACGGCCTTGAAACTCATATCTCTCAGATTATATCATTTTACTGCTGGTTAACACACTTCCCAGCTTCACTGAAGCGTTGATCTGTTTGTTTCATCAAATCTCATTTAGATATCACAAAAATTTCATGACAACAACAATTACTGGTCCAATAAACTCGAAAATATTGATAAGATGAAAAATCCTAGCAGAGATACTGTACAAAACACAGAAAGACAAACAAATTCATCTAGAACTACTACTTTGAACTCTGACAGAAAGATAAAACCATCACGTCTTCAAGATTCTAGCAATGGCAGCAACAACGGCAGTGGACAAGTGAAGTTAACAAAGACTGAATCGACAGATTACCATACAAAGTCCGGTGATAGATTTTCGAAGCTTGCTAACACTTCTAAGATGAATTCAATTCCATTTAAGCAGACGACATCTTATCGTAGTTCAAGAATAAAGTAATAACAGTAATAAGCTTTGACATGTTTTCATTCTTTTTGTAAAAAGATATTTAGGGTCATTTTCGGCTTTTGGAACAAAATAATTTTACGCTACCAGCCTAACAAACAGTAAATAATAAATATGCTTCATATGAGGTAGTGAAAAAGGGTCTTTATTGAGTGTTAATAAACAGCCTTACTTTCACCACATCTTATCAGGTCAACCATTAGAAGTAACCCGGTTGACAAGGATTCGTTGTCTAACTGAGGAAATATCAACACCTTTGTTCGCAATTTTCTAGCATCGTAAAATGTCTTTAAATTATTATTAGTTATTATGCGTAAAACACAATAGTAGTAGAACATAGTAACCCAGAAATGCACCATACAAAACAATATAAAAACGTTAAAAATGCATAAAAGTGGAACAGATGACATCGAAAGAATGCAGAACAGAAGCAAAATTAAAGTAGGATATTGAACAACCAGTCTACGTTTATCTTTAAATAAGCGTTCACCACCTCCTCTTTACTTTTCAACAAAAGAAGAAACAAGACAGCGGCAACGCAATCGCCACTGGTTTCAATCCTCAAACATTCCCACCAACATCGTAAGACGAGCAGTTTCATGATCGCTCGGAAACCATCCTTCGAGAGGTAAGACACTAACACATCCCGAAGCAAAACAAATATCCTTCATACTATAACACCATAACATACAATCACCACCTCTCTCTGCTTCTTCCAACCACTCTAGTGGCTAACAAATACCGAGTGTTATGGGAACCGCTGCGACGACATTCATCACACATGTGCAAATCATCACAGCCGATATTTCGGGGTTAATTTACTCATGACTACCTGTCTTATATGTAATCACGCGCTGCCACACCTTAGTATTACTCACATGACGCTTCCAACGGCTCCCGACAATCCTGCGGAGACAATGGTATTCAAACACTCAGATTCGTGAGAGCTTCTCACCCTGAAGAGGCCGGGTTTTACAGGCGTGGAGCAGAACTACTCTGTCCACTTACTTTGTGATCCTGATCGATCACATAAGAACTGTTACGTGAAATGTTACTGACATTGAAAATTGGTATTCGGGTTTGTGATACAATATTAGGATTCTCATAAGTACAGGTGTAGCACCAAGGTTCATCGATAAAATGGTAGCATTTACCACATGTAATTATCAAATATACGACACATCGACACAGCATAACCATGTGAATCGTTGTGCGCAATGTTAAGTTAAAAATATAATGCATGCATTCAGCCAACCCTTCAATAGCACTCATACAATGGTTTGGATACACAGTTTAAGGCTTCAAGAAAAGGTAGACAATAAGAACTAGTTAGGCAAACTTTTCTTCCCAGTATTACAAAAGCTCTGATACTCAGAAAGCAAAATATCACCATCGCAAAATGACGGTCTGTTAATAACCAGTAATAATTCGTAAAATAAAGAAAATCGGTCTAGCAATTTAAGCATAAAAGTACGCACGCTGACAACAAAATCGACAGAAAAATTCGAACACATTCTTTCCATCAGGCAGTAAATAAAAGCATGAAACTCAAAAATACTGAGTGAAGATCCATGTTGCTATGCACCATATCATCAGATCAAGCAATAATGCAAAATAATGAAGGATAAAGAGAATGAAATATAAAGAAATAAAGTAGGCAAAAGTGACAGAAATTCGTGAGAAGAGAACAAGGAGAAATACGATAACAATGAAATTCAGAATGACGATTAAACGGGAGGTAATGATTGAATGCAGCTGCACCACTGAGATCAGTTCTGAGCAATATCACATAAAATCTTTAACCACTGGTTTCTATTGTCACTTAGCACCTAAACGGGAGTCTACATTTCTCTACACTGCTGAGAACAGTAGTCAGAGGTTTCATGGACTGAAGCCCAGCTTTTGTTTGATGGCCTTTGACATCTCAGCTTATTTTGACTTAAGATAAGATTTTGATAAGGTAAAGAGTGTCTAGGCATGCGTAGCACATATCCCAGCCATCTGAGTCGAAGATTCACAACATCACCAACTAACTTCGTGGTGCCATCAGGTCGGTAACTCAGAAGTCAAACGCTGTGTTTTCAGTAAAAAGGATAGGTTAGTGGATGACGTGGTGAATCTTCGACTTTGGTGGCTGGAATGCGCGTTACGCATGCCTAGTCATTGTCTACCTTATCAAAATGTTATTACCATGGTGCCGAGACAGATGGCTTCAGTATACAATAACTTTTTATAGGCTGGTGTAAACCAATTAATTTCTTCGTACACGCTTCTAGCTCTTGCGGAACGATTCCAGATCTTTGGGGGATTCCGATGCTGTAAATCTACCTACTCGCCTGCTGTAGCTCTGGTTAGGCAGACGGGCAGTTAGGTGTTGTTTAAATTTGTAGGGGTTGCATGATTTGTCCAAGGACTGTGACGCAGATAGACCCTCAAATGTCTCGCCACCAGACAGTTGTTCTGACTGGTTGTAAAAAAGAAGACAGAAAGGAAGAAGAGATGTTCAGCGAAATCAAGGGAGAGAAAGTGCAAAAAAACAAGGTGAAAAGAAGTGGAATGGAAGGATAAACCTAGGTAGATTCATAGGAGATAAGTGGTAAAGAGAATACATAAGATGACACAATAGAGTTAGAGGGCAGAGAAAGAGCAAGCAAGATTATAGGACGGATTTAGGGTATAGAAATAGCATTGTTATTAGTGGGCGGGGGACAATGACTGGAAGTTAGACATCGAAAAAGAAAGTACAGGGTTGAGTCAAGTTAGCGATGATAGTGCCAGAACAAAGGATTCAGTATAGGGTTGACTGTGCTGGGTTGTGGACGACTAGTTGGATAAGCGCGAACCGTGCATCGCTGTCTAACCTTTTCTTGAAGCTCTTCTCAGACGGAGTAGTTTTAATCTTGTCAGACAATGAGTTCCGGTGACCGCAAACTCGCAGACAGGAAAAGTGTGAACGCATACTGTTTTCGCCCTTTGGTGGGCGACTCTCCTTGCGTTACCACAAGGATTGACACGATGGTCGTTCGGTAGGATTCCACTATTCGGATGACTTGGATTACTTAGCGCTTTGCAAGTCGTTATCAAAACACCGCACGTAATCAACGATAACTAGAAAAGTAAAGCCTTAGGTCTTTCAACCTATCCTCATAGGGTTTGTACCTCATTCCCACAACGTCTTACGTTCCTCGCCTCTTGACTTTCTCCACAAGGTTTCCATCTCTTTTCAGGTATGGTGGTGCGACGACCTTATGGATCTTTTAGTGAGGTCGTATAAAGATCTTGTAGAGCTTCGTAAGAGTTCCGGAGTGAGGGTGCCTAGTTGTCTGCTAATGAAGTGCAGAACTGCGTGAGCTCTGCAGGCATCTGCTGGAAAATTGGAGTAGATGTTCAGCTTGTTAGTCATAGTCCAGATCTTTCTCCGTGATGGTACAGGAAAGTTGCGTATCACACAGAGTAGAATACTTTTTGAGAGTCGGCGGTGCGGAGAAACATGGTTCGACATTTGCCGAGGTTTAATGCTAATCCGGTATTATTCACCCACTCTGCAAGTAGTCTGATATCACTTTGTAGTGCATTTGATTCCGTTCCAGATGTCACAGCTCTCCAAACTTGACATCGTCAGCGTAAAGTAGAATCTAAGAGTTGAGACTCAATGGGAGGTCACTGAACAAAAGAAAGAACAGCAGAGGACCCACAATCGCTTCTTGTGATACACCAAATGGTGTTGTCCTCCAAGTCGAGGAAACCCTGTTGACTTTTGTGCAGAATTCATGGCCATCTAAAGAGCCCCGTGACCAGGACGGAGTCTGACTCTTCGCAACTGACCTTGATATTTTGAGAATGAGAATGGTGTACGAGACTGTGTCAAATACCTGCGCAAAGTCCAGGAAAATCACATTTACAGGAACTTGGAGGTCCCGGTATGTCGTTCAGTTATCATCAGCTACCAGAAGGTTTGAGGTACAGGACCTACCCTTTCTAAAACCATGATGAACATCACTATCATCTTGTCCAAGTTCTCTCTGACATATTCGTTTACCAGGCTCCTAATTACTTTAGAAATTACTTTAGAAATATCATCGGTCGATAGCATTTCAGGTTCTGCCTGTCTCCTCCTTTGAAGATGGGAGAGAAAACAGCACGTTTCCACTCTTGTGAAAGTATGTGCTTATCTAAGAAGTTTTGAAACAGATTACAAGGCTGACCACATAAGGCGCTTGCACATTGTTTCAACACACACGGCCGAAGCCTGTTGCATCCCGGTGATTTACCTGCGTGGAGCTTTGCAAGCTTTTCGAGGGCCATAGCAAGGGTTTCCTTTATTCCAAGCAAATCTATATCAAGCAGTAATGAAGTTTTCTCGGGTAGTTGGTAATTTTGGTTGGATGACGGAATGTTTAGTTGGGTATCGAAAGTGACGATAAAGGTTTCCAGCAGTCTCCAGTTCAGAGACTCTGTTCGGGCCTTGCATAACGAAAGCTCCCCAACTGGCAGATTTTCTCTGTGCCATAAACCGATATATATTTTCGGAGTTTGCCTCAAGCTTCTGGGTAAGGTTCTTCTGGAACTACCTGCTGCACCCCCTCAATAAGGATAATAATTAATTTAGGAAACGCTCGAAATTTTGTAGTTTTGAAAGAAAACATTAATACACATCGAAATAGACATTTCAGAGATATTCAGATACTTCTTAGATCTGTGGTGACAAAATACACATCAAAGGTTACCTAAATAACTTGTCAACTGCAGACAATTTATGAAGGATTTCATTTATATTTTTCATGTTAAGTGTGACACTTTTAGAATCCCATATGAGAAAAAACCAACTAAGCGTCTCTCCGTCAAAAGCTGCCGTTATCACGATCAAACTTAATGTTTGAAGCATATTCCAAATCATTTGACAGAGTACGACACCACCCAGTCATACAGATTTCACTAGCTAAACACCAGAAACCAGAAAATAGTCATGCAAAATATGCAAAAAAATTACAGGATGAAAAAAATGATGGGATCGTTCAAAAGAAACACATAAATCAATTCAACGAACATTCAGAAAAAACAAATAAAGTTTCACAAATAATCCCCTAGAATCATTCCTAACTACAGATGAAATAAATTGACCTAACATCATTGGTTATATAAAAAAACACCTGCAAAATTATTAAAGAGAAGCAAAAACAGTGAACGAGGTCAGTCACATGAAACCACATGAAACCCTGTTACCCTTATTCAGTTCACATCACTTACATCTGCAACCTACGCATGAATTGAAACGTCCATGGCAGTGTTCCACTCACCATCCCAATAGACAACTGGCAACAAAATAGATGCTTGAGGTCAGGTGAACTGTTCCACCCATCGTTCCAGTCGCCTACCCTACCAGCGAATCGTAAACAAATCATTTCCCAACTTAGTCTCACTAACCACTGACACTTTCAACCCTCTTTCCATGATAAGAGTAAACATATGTCTACTAACACCAACAACCCCTGTCCATTTCATCTCTTTACTCTTTCCCACCCATCACCGCTCGCGGTCATGACGCAGACTTATTGTCAGTCTATACTTGAGTTGCCAACACTCCTCATTCTGCTTGGAGCCTGCAAAAATGCTTTCGTGTGCATCCATCAATTCAGAAGAAGCTGCTGAGACCCACTGACTCTTGCTCACCTTTCCGAGAGTCACTTAACAGCTGAAATTACGCTTTTTTTTACGGAACATATGTGTTGGCCGTCGGCAGATGTGCATATATTCCAGAACCTGTCAGAGGGTGAAAATATGTTCTATACACCTTCGTTCGAATCTACAACCTGCCTAGTTTTCTCGAGTTTGCTGTTCTCGAGCTCCAGTTATGCATTCGGGTTACAATGGACCTTTGACCCATACACAATCTACTATCTCTGTCACCTTATTTTGGGATTCCATACCTCCACCCTTGAAAATCTCAGGTGACAGTCCTGCTGCTCTGCATCATTTACGGTTCGATACAGCTTCTTCAACCTCAACTACAGTTGCAGGTCAGACATCTACGCCTCACTTACGTTCCGGCTGGCTGCACATCAGGAAACTGAAGCGATACTGCGGTCCAATTGAACTGTGCTTCACTGTTCTGTACAACGTCCTAGCCGTCTGTCCTGGGAGGTTATTAGTGTCCCATCCTTTTCGGTGATGGTTTTAATCACCATTGTCTTCTTGCCAGCATCTTTAATATGCTTAAATAGTTGCAGGGAATTACTAAATGCTCATGCCTCTTTCATCTGTCTAGCTTTCGTCACGCACTACTGCCAGCGATAGATGCGAAGACTCTTGGTCAACTTACGTTTGAGTTGCATTCGCTATTCATCGGATTCAGAGCCAGCTGGAATCAACCTTCTCGCATCAATCAATTCAGATGACTTCGCGGAGATTCATTGACGTTCGCTAACCTTCATGTGTACGTTACCAATTGTCTTTTCACCTGTTTCAACAGCAGAATTAATATCAAGCCAGGTTTCATCAAGATGGACATTGCTGTTACGTTCAGATAAACGGTTAGCTATCTCGTCCTTCAATGCTTGCGTGGTGTTCTCATCTACCAACTGAGCATAGATGGGCTTTACTATCACCTGTTTCCTGCGTCCTGTAAGGTGTAAACATACATGAGCCCATACTAGCGCGTAATCGGAGTCCCAACTGGTACTCCAGAAAAAGCGGAAATTTTCCACTGATACACTCCAACAACGGCTTATAGCAATATACTATATTTTTGTTTAATGTTGGTTTGAATCATATTAAAATGAGTGCCTCAGACATGGAAAAGCCACAGGCAAGTGCATTTAGTATTTAGACAGTGTGGTGTACAGAAAATTTGAAGTTATCAGATGAATGACACAATCCAAGTCAAAAGTACGTTCGGTGTTTTAGCATCGATCCATTCAAATTCCCGATTATATCATCTCCCACCATTAAAGCCTTATTGTCGTCAGCTAATGAGGCAACAAAATAGCATATACACTACAAGATATAGATTAAAACTATGTTATGTACAGAGATTTTGTGATGTTGATCGATTTGTTTTTGCCAAACACCGTGAAACACGAAAAAAAGAAAACAGGCAATTACAAATAAAGTTAATTCAGCAAGTCATAAATACAAAAGAACAGACACATTTTACGAAATGACATTTTACAGTCCTCTTTTTCATTGCGTATATTCCAAAGTTCGAGAAATAAAATCAAATACAGAACCGTTAGTGTTCAACATAGACCCGGCATTTTCAGTCAGTATCCTCCACAGTTTTCCTGAAACCCAAATAGTAAGTAAAATCTGACTCATCATTACTCACCTCTACAATATACACAAAAGAAGGTTGTTCAAAGAATTACTAATAATTGACGAAATTTCTAACGCAACGCTTTAGTATGCTACGCCAATGTACAATCAAACGCAACTTCAAAATATGCAGGGCTTTGACTATAAACAAGGAGTGTCACCTGATGCACAAAAAACGCTGAAAATAAAGCGCAGTAGCAATCATCAGTGGTCAAAAATTTAGTTTTACCAAAATTACAGAAGATTGAATAAACAATAACTTGTGCTCACAATGGATGTCTCACAAAGCCTAACGTCGATCACATAATGGCTTACATAGAATACAAAAAACCAGGCGTAGCTGCATCAGTGCAGAACGTCATCGGTAAACCACCCATTTAAAAGCAGAAGAGAGACATAGAATATCATCATCACAACTGGCATTCCACCACAACAATACAAATTGTCACATCAGATATCACCACATCACTAAAGATGCATCAAATAAAATATAAACAAATAACCAAGAAAGTAGTCAACAGTGAGACGTCGTTAAACGACATCAACGAGGAATGAGAAAATACTGAATGAAATTCACTACGGCAACTAAGACGAAAATAATGTGTGCATACATATGCACCACTCAAATCAATTACGAGTCATCTCACACAGAGACTCCAACCACTGGTTTCTGTTGTCACACAACTCCAACCAGGAAGTCTACATTACCCCACTCAGTCTACACCAACAAAACAGCCTTCATGAACTGATCAAGTATTCCAGTCTGGATACCTCTAACCAACCTCAACAAAACTTCACATAACATGGTGCGACGATCAGGTAATACGTGGTTAGACGTGAAGAAAACATGGCCCACACAACCCAGTAAATGAACGACCATGCCACAAATGCAACCGTGGTCCAGCATCTGAAGCCGTCTCACGTCATCTACCTGCAATCACAATACTTCACAAACATATAAAAGAACATAGTGAACTGAAGCAAAGTACACTCGACATCTATCACACAGTCAGATAACACCGCAGCGCCATAAGTGGCGTAGGTTGGCGAAAGCCAAGCGAACCTATTGTATATAGACCAGTTCAGCACCAACAACTAGCATTCGCCTAGTTAGAAACCCATACCAAACATTCTCAAATCCTCACTCAATGCATACAAGAAACTCTACATTTTGTCAGTCTCTGCACCAAACAAGACTATACACTTACGGCCAGGTCTGATATACACCCGGTGTTCTCGGACTTGCTTTCTCCAAGCTCCACTCTGATAAATAATGATTATACTACCTAAAATCTTAGACATTATATTCATCGAGCTGGTCCCTCTGCGGTTATCACAAGACGACCTCTCTCACCTTTCTTGAAGACTGGGATAATCAGGGACTGAAGCAAGCATTTACAAAAAGATTCTCCTGCAATGAGATCAATCCACGCAGGCAGATAGACGCCAATAGGCAAACCACCATAAGTAACTCTCTCCAACGGCCGAATAAGAATGCAGTGTGCACATCATTGAAGGACACCAATAAACAAACACAACTCACATAATAACTCACCACAGGTTCACACACCACCACGGGTATTTGAGTACACAACCTTTAACACGGTGATGCATTTACTCAGAATTCATTTTCGGTAAGGACTCCACCATAACACCTCTCAATCGACGTAGTCGAATATCCCCTTTTAACCAAGAAATACAGCTAGTTTTGGTAACCATTAGCCGTCTACGTCTTCCAAAAACTGATGGAGGATGACTAACTGGTCGATACACTCGCAACCAGGTCTAAAACCTATCTTGTATTCTCGGACTGGCGGTTCTCAAACTCCAATTAGGTCCTTGGTGGCAACAGCAGCTGGAATCAAAGACATGATGTCCGTTAGATCAATTCCCCAGCTGTAACAGCAAGACAACTTCTCACCATTCTTGAAGATCCGGACAAACAGTGAATGAGATCAGTCACATGAAACCACATCTGACTCACATACACTAGTCAGAACTCCAGTTAATCTGATCAATAGTCCACAATCATTCTACATAAATACCACCGGCATAACTTCATCTGACCCTGTTACCCTTATTCAGTTCACATCACTTACATCTGCAACCTACGCATGAATTGAAACGTCCATGGCAGTGTTCCACTCACCATCCCAATAGACAACTGGCAACAAAATAGATGCTTGAGGTCAGGTGAACTGTTCCACCCATCGTTCCAGTCGCCTACCCTACCAGCGAATCGTAGACAAATCATTTCCCAACTTAGTCTCACTAACCACTGACACTTTCAACCCTCTTTCCATGATAAGAGTAAACATATGTCTACTAACACCAACAACCCCTGTCCATTTCATCTCTTTACTCTTTCCCACCCATCACCGCTCGCGGTCATGACGCAGACTTATTGTCAGTCTATACTTGAGTTGCCAACACTCCTCATTCTGCTTGGAGCCTGCAAAAATGCTTTCGTGTGCATCCATCAATTCAGAAGAAGCTGCTGAGACCCACTGACTCTTGCTCACCTTTCCGAGAGTCACTTAACAGCTGAAATCACGCAGGTTTAACAGATTATTGGAACTGGCATCTAACTTATATGAGATGATGGAAATATGTCTAACCAGTTTTTGCTAGGAGCAGTTGTAGTATTCTCATCGTCAAGCAGGAGTACAATGGTACTGCAGTTGCATGCGTAAACATTACTATGCTTCAGTGAGCGCGAAATCTCCGTGGAAAAAGTGCACCTAGGGGAACAACAGCTTCCACCGACCCTCCGCAGACCTAACTTCCGTTGATATAGTTTATTGGTGTCCACCGCAGAGCTAAGTTCGCTCCATATCCCACTTTAAACAATCTTCATCTTTATATCTCAAGTTCGTGCTGACCAGAAAAGGGTCGTTGTCTGAGCACAGTTGTAGCAGACGCTCAACATTGCGTATTCAGTCATCTACATTCCGAAAGTGCCAATAAAGTGAATTTCAGCCTGATGTAACCCATTCATTTGTGCATTGAACCCACTTCTAATACAACTACCTCTGAAAGTTTGGTTTGAACTGGGCGGTTACACAGAGCCATCCGAACTATAGTCAGCGCGTGCGTAAGCAGAGATTACACAAAGACACAGATTAGTTTCACTCCCCTTTTAAGTCTTCAATGTGCCCTTTAGTCTGACAGCATACAAGTGTCTCCCAACCAGAATATAGTCGGATAGTGCACTTTCTGCCTTAGCACCTAATGCATACATATGCATCGGCAAGACCACGAGAACTATCCATTAAATCTCCAGATACTCGAAAGATACAATTTCCGTATTCATCGTATTGACCAAATGAACCGAAGTGAATAACCGTACTTGCGTCCTGTATTCATCTCCCGCAAACACAGCACACATGCATGGTTGGAGATCGCAGAATTCTGAGTTGCAAAGCCTCTTGACAGATTTGACGACGGTGTGTGCATTGAAAGACTCAATGTGCAGCTGGGACAGAATTTTCATGAGACCAACAACGCTATTCCGACAATGAACATCACTAAATTAAGAGCAGTACAGTTGTGACAAATCAAAGTTGATGTACGAATGTTGTTCGAGAGAAGTGAAGGAAGACTCGAAAGTAAGGATTTGCAAGGTTGGTAATAGTCTGAGGGAATGTGAGTTTTGACAGAGGGAGGTTGACACTTTCAAAACTGCTCACACCACGGAAGGCTAGCTGTTCCTGAGGTACATAACAATGAAATGCTAGTGTGACTGGTGAGTTTGAAAAACATCTGCTTCACAAATGCCCCATTTATAAGTTTGAGGTTTAATTTTGCTAGTTTTGAATCAAATTATAAGACTAAATTGACGGCGGCAGTATACCGCAAGCCAGAAAAAGTCTCATCATACTGCAGCGCATTTATTCATTAGCAGTGGAATCCAGGACGCACATCTCGTCCTACTGTGGACTCGTCATCTGGATGTACCTGCACTACAAACAATGACATTGTTCCCAACTGGGACTGCAGCCCAGTAGCCACCGCTTCAAACCCCAAAGCGTTATTCACTGAGCCACTGGAGCACGAGAGTCAAGTTGGAAGTATCAAACAATCACTGGTACCCTACGCACAAGTGGTATCTCTCGTGTCCCATCGGCCTACTAGATAACACTTCGGCGTTTGAAACGATGGGTACTGGGTTCGAGTCTCAGTGGGAATAACATCGCTCACTGAGGTGTAGGTACATCGGTCTGATGCATCCCAATTGGGACGAAATGCGCGTCCTGCATCTCACTGCTAGCCACGAAACAGACTACAATATAATGAATATCCGGGGAGTATCAAGGCAGCCGCATAGGAGTCCATCTGTCTACAGAAGTCGAGCAATTCGACCCTGTATAGCGAACAGGAAATTACAAGTATCAGAGTGTACTATTTTTTCGGAAAACCTTTTTTAACCACAAGTTGACATAGTGAAGACAACATTAGCATGGTACTGTTGATCATCCAACCATCAAACTTTACCCTCGAACCCCTAATATAACGTATTAATTTAAGCTGTAACAGTACCGGCTTCTCCTACCACTAAAATGAAACAGACCATTGTCGTACGGTATAACCTAAAGGTATAACAAACCTCGCCTACTTTAATAGTCTTTTAGTTAAATAGCCAAGCCTCAGCCTGGATAAGGAGGGGAGGTTGGGTATGGGGTTAGAAACATGAACCCGCAAAACCAATCCAATTGCAAAACAAACTTCAAAGCACAGACGAAATATAAAAAATAAAAATAAACCTATTACTCGCTGAAATCAGGGAGACGAAATGATGCTGGTCGATGAAGGACTTCGCGAAACCAACTGGACGACGTGCCTTCGCTTCTCTCGATGAAAGCAAAGTAAGAATGGAGAAATGGAATGTGTCCCCACAATGTTCAAAGCTGGTTACCAGGGCTGTCCAGATTGCTAAAGAAATGGGAAGATATGGCACAGAATAGAAGTGCTAGGAATCTGCGAAACCAGATGGAATGGAAGTCGACTCTCCAACATGTCACCTGGAGAGTCAATAATCTACTCCGGTCACCTAAACGACAAACACGAGCACACTGAGTATTGGAGTGACTATCATGATATCCCCGAGAGCATCGAAGACTCTCTCTCTCTCTCTCTCATGTAGTGGGAACCAACCTCCTACTCCAGGATCATGACAGCAAGTTTCAAATCAGAAGGAAAGAAAGTTACAATCGTACAACGCTACGCTACGCACCTACAAATAATGCGGATCAAGATAAGGAGGAGGGATTCTACAGACAACTGCAATCAGCAACAGACAAGACCCCACCCCAGTTGGCGAAATCAAAATTCACTCCAATGGGCGACATGAATGCCAAACTGGGAGCGGACAACACAGGAGGAGAGCTAATCATGGGTCGAGAGGCACTCGGTGAAGTGATGGACGAGAATGGAGAACACTTTGCGGACATCTACACATTTAACGATTTGATGATTGGAAGCAATCTCTATAAACCCAAGGATATTCACAAAGCGAGCGATATGAATTTCATCAGACACCAGGACACACTAAAAATCAGATCGACTTCATCTGAATGTGAAGAAGGTGGAGACGCAACCTACTGGACACAAGATCAAACTACGAAGAGGAGCAGATATAGGTTCACACAATCCACCATCTAGTTCAAGGAACCTACCTTCCGAATCAAGTTGAAAGCCTTCGAAGGAGAAGCTGGTGATAAACCACAGTTCAAGTTCAACACCTAGAGCAGAAACTGATCTGAAGGACGAAACTACAAAGGACATCTTCACATCAGTCAATCATCAGGAAAATATCGGAGACATTGAGCAACATCTCTGGAGAAATCTACCTGGAAGAACACTGGAACTCTTTGAAAGAGATGTGGAAGGAAACCTGCATAACCGTGTTAGGAAGGAAGAATAAACAAGACAAGGAATTGATCTCGACGGACACATGGAAGCTGATATAGCAGAGAGAGGAAGATGGTGATGGTGAAACAGAAGATGAACCAATGCAGTCTGGTGTATGGATGAACAACGAAAAGAGGAACCGAATACTACGTGTAAAACTCTGGACAAAGAAGTGAAGAAGAGTGCACGGAAAGACAAATGACACTTCTACGACACACTTGCAACTGAAGCAAAACAGCCTGCAGTTAAGAGAGACCTGACAACACTTTGTCAAAATAAACAGGTTACTTACTGCCTGGGAAGAAATCAACGCACACGAAACCAGTGAAAGATAGTGAAGGGAGCTTAGTTACCAAGGAGGAGAAACAAAGGAAGTGATGGGTTAGCCACTTCAAAAAACTCTTGAACCGAACACCACTATCACCTGCAACTCATTCAGAAATATCACCAGCAGCCCAGCCACAGAATTACCAGTGAACACAAGCCCACCGACAAAAGCAGAAGTTCTGAATGCCATAAACTTGCTGAAAGCAGAGAAAGCAACAGGACCACATGGAATTCGACGAGAAGCACTGAAAACAGAGGTAGAGACAACAGCGGACATGCTCACACCACTACTCCAAAAGGTTTGGAAGGAGGAGGGGCAAGGTACCTGCCAACTGGTTGGAGGAAGGGCTACCTCGTCAAACCATCGAAGAACGGAGACCTGGGTAATTGCAAGAACTGACTCGGAATCATGCTCCTGTCTCTGTCCACCCGAAGCTAAATATAAGGCCACATTATCCTGGAAAGACTAAACAATGCTCTGGATTCAAAATTACAACCGGAACTGCCTAGCTGGCTGACTTCAGGAAGTACAAATCATGTGCGAACCAAATTGCAACGCTACGCATAATTATAGAACAGAGCGTGGAATGGCAGTCAACTCTCTACCTCGACTTCATCGACTTTGGAAAGCCCTTCGATAGCGTCGACCGAGAAGTAATTTGGAAACTGCTTCAACACTACGGTTTTAGTCCCACAAACCCTTATCAACGTCATTCAACAGCAGTTATATGCTATGTAATGCTACATGCCAAGTGATTCACGATGGAAACCTCAGTGATGCCTTCGGAGTGAAGACAGAAGTAAGACAAGACAAGGTTGTCGCCTACTATCACCGATCACCTTCCTGATTGTGGCCGACTCGACTGGACTGGGTCATGCAACAGACAGCTGTGAGGAGTGAGAAGATGGGGATACGCTGGCTGGACCGATGAAGAGATCCTAGAGGATTTGAACTTCGCTGATGATGATTTATGTTTAATGTCTAGTGGCACAAACTCGAATATCTACAGGCGAAAGCCAACAGGTTGGCAGAAGAGGCAGGGCAGCGAAGATGCGACTTCCTTCAGGTGAACGTAGAGAAAACAGAGGTGATGAAGATACCCAACGAACAACATCATGAACAACAAGCACCAATCACCATCAGCAGGAGAAACCTAAAGGAAGTTGTCTCGTTCACCTGCCTATGCAGCATCGTTTCAACTACAGGCAGCACAGGCACAGATGAAGATGTCATAGCCAGGATTGGAAAGGCAGCAAGACAGGCCTTCACTAACCAGAAATCAGTGTGGACATCTATTGCACTGTACGCAGCATGAAGAAGAAGACGAAGAAGAAGATCTGGATTTTCACCACCAATTCAGTCAAGTCAGTGCTTCTATATGGTTCAGAAACTTGGCACGTCACCGAAAACATTTCCAACAAAATACATACATGCCACCTACGCTCACTCGATATTGAGGATCAGATGGATTGCCAGAAAGAATAAGCAATAAGGAAGTCTGGTCAGGCAAGGAACCAACCAGGAACCTATCGTCCAACAAATATGCAGAAGAAGGTGGAGATGGACTGAACTGGGCGTACACTGACAAGACCATTTTAGGACATCACGGGCCATTCCAGGCTCTCGAGTGTAATCCAAAGGGGAAACGACGAGTTGGGTGTCCGAGGTGAGGGTGACATGGAGGAGATGGTGTGAGGAAGGAATGAAGTCTTGTGGGCAGTTGTGGAGCCAGGTTGAAGAGACTGCAGAGAAGAGAGTGAAATGGCGACGAGCTACTGAAGCCCTATATTCCACTAGGAACCCGAATGACAAATAATAATAATAATAAAGACAGAACAGTGATGCACATGTATATCTCTAAGCAAATATTAAGGAGTGCTCCTGGAATTTCGACCACTGGAGTAGTATACTACATTGAGATTTAGGAACATCTGTGTGGAAAGATGTTGATAAGCTTACATTCCAGGAAGTAAGAGGTGATAGAGGTCTGTTAAACATACAACCTATTTGATCTATTAACAGCATGACCAAAATAATCTTGAAAGCACGGCGGAAATACTGATTTTTTCATACAGTTTATTATATGAATGTTAGAGAATAAATGCGAAATGTGATTCAACAGTTTTTGTTTTTCAATTACCATGATATGCTATCACACGTAGAAATTATTAATTATTATGCTATTCAGTTGCACTAAAACATGTAAAGTACTTAAAATAAATTCAAAACAGTGTTCGCCTTACCGACAGTCACTTTTCGAGAAGAAAGTAATGAATACATTTCATAGATTCTATCACAAAATAGATGATCACCAAAAGTAAAATAGGCTAGTGATTTCTCAGCCTGAACGCATGCCATCATTTGAAGTATAACTAAAAGAAAAAAGATAAAAGTTTGTCGAGAAATTTATAAAACTAGTGTTATGCGATTTATATAAACTATAGGTTCTTTATCCTGAAAATCAAAAAACCTTGGCGCAGGCAAATTCTATTGAATTATAGTTTTCTTAGAGTACAACAAGGTAACTGAATGCGGTATAGAAAGGTGATCCGCCACAATCCTAAATTCACGATGCAATAGCAATGGACACTAGAAAAACTAGTCTAACCAAAATGATTATTACAGTGGGTTCCAACTTGCAATCTAGTTGCCTAAGAAGTAGCTAAGCAAACTGCTAAATAATAACACTACCCTAACACATTGCTAACACAAATGTAAAAAAATCCACAAGAAAAAATTTTTAAAAACAATTCTTGCATACATTTTAGTTCCACATCACCTCGGAAAGCGCCACAACCCCAGTTTCCAGTAGCGACCACAGAGGGCAGTTTTCTTTTAGGAAATAGTTCATCGGTGAACCCACAAAATGCCTAAAAAAATAAGAGATTTCAAAAATAAGACATTGGTAGTACGGTAAGTCATATCATACGATAGAGTTTACATCGCTTATCATATAAACAAAAAAACATTTGTTGATAAGCTAATGATAACTTTATTTCATATTAATTCCAGATGAACTGTTCGATGAAAAGTATCACAAACCTTAAATGTCTACCACTTCTTTTGTATGCTTTCACTTCACTATTTATACAGCGTAAGAAAGTATTATCAGCATGTATATTGTGTTCACATAGCTTCAGACTTGCAGTGAAACAGAATGGAATATTAAGTTTACTTCAGTTTATCATTTCCATTCAATGAACCCAGTCAAGGATATCTTTCAAGGCAATGATCATCAACGTATTTTGTGACAATTCGATTGCATAGTTGTTCAGTCAGTGTTCACAGTGGTTGTCAAAGACATCACTTTCTGAAAATTGTTACGCTTCGGTTGCGATGATCGCCCTGTTTTGTTGTTACATTCAAATTCTTAAATATCGACAAACACTTTTATTCTTAGAAATCGAAATGTACCACTACATGTTACCTGCGCTTAACTGTTCAGAAATTCTAAAAGAAACGGTGGTAAACCACTATTAATGCATCAACAAACGAATACAGTAGTTTCGGACAATTATCGCAAGCCAGTTACCAGAAGAAAACTAGTGCTTCACTATTTGTTCCTTTCGAAGTAAATATTTTTCCAAAACGTTTCCTCATACTTAATCACAGGACCACGCTAAACTATCGAATATCTTGATGTGGACTTTTAATATTAGTGAAATACAGTTAGATATGGAAGTGTTTAAAGTGACCGAACCAAGAGATTGTACTCACCCGAAAATTCAGTAACTGTTAATCTGTGCTATGCGGTGTAGGCTATCTGGCTGTGGTTCTCAAGATGTGAGGAAAAAGTTCTTAAAGATTTCAAATATATAGCTAGAAAACGATTACATCTTATCACTGAAAAATTCTGGGCCCTTAATTATTCCTAATTTAATCGTCTTCTCTCTACACATACTCCACTTGTTTATGTGAATATATATTTGAATCGTGAAGTGTGGTAACCTTGGGGGATGGATTCTTGTGCAAAAATTTGGTTTGCTTTTTCTATCTGGTATTTAATATCAAGACAGTCTTTAAAAATAGTTCGTAGTTTGACAAAACATTCATAAAAAGTAATGATACTACTGATTTATCGATAGTAAGCACTAGTATTCTGAAAAGGGTGACAGAACTTTTTTGAAAAAATAGGAACATATGCCAGTAGCTTGAACAATTAAATATCTCTGTTAGACAACAATTGCTCGTGAAAGCAAACATACGTTGGTTCACATTTAAGAAATCCGCCTTATTAAGAAAACGAAACCACTCCGAAAAAAGATGGTCAACTTCGATACTGATTTTACTTCATTCCACCAATGAAGCACATGTCAATTACACAGGAAAGAAATCAAAGTAACTAGTTCCTTGAGAATAGCCAATAACAAATCAATGTGGTTTCATACATTTCGTCCAATTGGTGGAATTCAACAAAGCAAAGACGGACAGATATGCAGAATCGAGTGACATTATTCCTTTATTTATCGTAGACTTAACTCCTCACTGTTATGGCCACATTTTGGAACTATTTTATCCATCAAAACACACGGAAAGTAAATTTATAATAGTTACTGAAACACAAAACAAAGATTTAATGAGAGAGAATTTCTGTTTGCGACAATTTCATTTTTGAAAGATGTACAATCTTATTTCACAATAAGTTGAGGTTGTTGGCATACCTGTTTGCTTTTTAATATGAGTGGGTTACTACGTTACTTGGACACACTCACGATAGTTAGAAATGACATACATTTCCTGAGAAGACGAATCACACAACAAGCGTTATTCACTGAGCCACTGGAGCACGAGAGTCAAGTTGGAAGTATCAAACAATCACTGGTACCCTACGCACAAGTGGTATCTCTCGTGTCCCATCGGCCTACTAGATAACACTTCGGCGTTTGAAACGATGGGTACTGGGTTCGAGTCTCAGTGGGAATAACATCGCTCACTGAGGTGTAGGTACATCGGTCTGATGCATCCCAATTGGGACGAAATGCGCGTCCTGCATCTCACTGCTAGCCACGAAACAGACTACAATATAATGAATATCCGGGGAGTATCAAGGCAGCCGCATAGGAGTCCATCTGTCTACAGAAGTCGAGCAATTCGACCCTGTATAGCGAACAGGAAATTACAAGTATCAGAGTGTACTATTTTTTCGGAAAACCTTTTTTAACCACAAGTTGACATAGTGAAGACAACATTAGCATGGTACTGTTGATCATCCAACCATCAAACTTTACCTCGAACCCCTAATATAACGTATTAATTTAAGCTGTAACAGTACCGGCTTCCCCTACCACTAAAATGAAACAGACCTTTGTCGTACGGTATAACCTAAAGGTATAACCGCTACAGTCATTGTGTTTCATTGGGTCATTGCGATATGTAAGCTCAACTATCGTGTCTAGTTAGCAGCTATTGGTTAGGTTAGAGAAATCAACACATTGAAACAGAATAGTGATGCACATATATGTCTTTAAGTAAACGTTAAGCAGTGTTACTGGAGTTTCAACCACTGGAGTAGTATACTACATTGAGATTTAGGAACGTCGGTATGGAAAGATATCGACAAGGTTATATTCCAGGAATTGAGGGGTGATAAAAATCTATCAACAGTATGACTAGAATAATGTTAAGTGACTTTGTTGTAATTTTAGATTGTATGTATCTGCTGATTATCCATGAAATGAAATATCATTTTATTTTGCAAATCAACAGAAAATGAAACTCAGCCAGTAGTCAGTAAATTATGTTCTCCAAATATATGCTTAAATTATAAGCATTTAATTTGTGCAACACGCTCTTGTTCAGGAAATACTGCAAAAGCGGAAACGTTTAGGTAATATATACTTTATTAAGGTAAACGAGAAAAAGCCATTTCTGATAAAAAGGTGGCAAAATCAGAAACTTACCTACCTCGACAGCATTTTATAAATAAGAAACTATATTAAGAGACAGAAATGCGTTAAGTTACCTTATTCACTTCTCTGAGCATTTCCTCGGCATTATACTGTTTCACAGGATTCGTGTATGGTATGGCATCCATTGCCACTATAGCATAATTCCACCTTCCCCATTCATCACTAAAATAAAGTGAAAACAACGTTATTAATGTAAACCGACCTGAAAATAACAACGGCTACTTCTAACACATCATTAGAAAAGAGTGCACCAAGATGTGTGATCAAATTTAAACTGTGCCTGAGTAATTACTCAGTTGCTAATTTAAAGTAGATTTCAAAACATTTCAAGTTGATAGCTTTTAGGTATTTAGGTAACCTGAAAGCCCTGATCAACACAAGTTAATCTGCATGGGGAATGTCAGTCATTAGGTTAAGTGATTGAAACATTTAATTATCTGTCTTGATATGTGAAAGTTTTGAGTCTGATCTGGGAAAAGGAAGTTGATATCTGGTATTAAAGATCTTCTGA